TGTCTTCTTGACAACTGTTCCAGTGCTGCCCTCACTAGAGTCGCTGACTCGCTTGCCCGTCCGCGTACCATGCCGTGACGGTGCTTTAGATGCCGTGGTTGTGTTGGCTCGTCGCGTTCGTGTGGGGGCCACCGTTCCCGTGGCAGGTGCAGGTGCTGATGCATTCGAGCTGGCCGTTGATGCATTCAAAGGACGCGAAGGGGCTGTGCGACTGGTCTTCTTTGCCTTCTCCACCATGCTCGACAGGGCTGATCGGGCGCTGTTATGTTGCTTAACGGGAGAAGATGTCGGTCGCGCAATCTGCGAGGATTTCGATGGCGAGGAAGGCGGCCGCTCGCGTGCCAGCGATCGGGTGTTGGATGAGGTGGGCGACAAGATTTGCGACGAACTTAATGGGGCTGGGGCAGCGCGGTGCTTCTTCTTAGGGTTGAGAATCTGCTCGTTCTCCTTGTCTCCGCCCGCGATAGCATCACTAACATAGCGTGTTAGTAAAGCAAAATATCTGTTTCACATGGACACTAACCTCAGTCGCTTAGTAGGGCGCGCCGGCGGTGCCAGCTTATACGGGCTTCCCCGTGGAGGGAAGTCCTTCTCGGGAACAGGTGGCGGCCGCGAAGCGGCCTCAAGACGTTTCTGCTGCTCGACGGCTCTAGCTACCAAGTCGGCCATGGTCATCTTTAGCATAGCTCTGGGAACGCGGTTGACGCGCATCTGGATTCGTGATCGAAGGGTTTGTGCCTGCTGGTTGTATTGTGCGCGCAGTCGCCTGGCGCGATCGGTGACTGTGAAATCGTGAGAAGACGCGGTAAAGAACAAAAAGATATTTCCTTACTCTCCAATTGCAGGTTATCGATGATAGCCTGTTTTTGCTCCAGGGAGATTCCAAGCCTTTGCCGCTTGCTCGGGCTGCTGCTTAGCATGGGAGGCGTGCCAGCCTTCGCCGAAACCATTTGTCTCTGTGCCATCGTGGGTTGTTGCTCCATCTCATCTGAGCTTCTCTTGTTCGATCGCGCTGAAGGCATTTCGTCTGCTGAAAGTTGCGAGTCGTTGTGGGTGAAAGCGTTTGGCGCTGGACCAACGTGCCTGATCGCGACGGGAGCGTGAAAGTTGATGGAGCTAAGGATGATGGGGCGGAGGCTCTGTTATGAGTGGCTAGTGCTCTAGAAAGTAAACAAACGTGACAGCGGGCAAGACCCTTACCTAAGCCAATGGAAGCTTGGCCAGTCCCGGCCATTCATGGATCGCAAGGGGTCCCACATCAAGTTGGCAACCACGGTCCATGGCCCTGTGTATACCGTAGAAACTCACGCCGTTCGAATTTGCGTTAGCCCGTACGTACCCTACAAGCGCTTTAATAGAACCGTAATACTATCTAATATAGGCAGATACGGCCGCTACTAACTTTTGATATAAACTAATTTTCTAATAAATTAGGCTAATAAGAGCTCGTTATAGAAGCTAGACTTATAATTAATATAATTTAATAATTATTTTAATAAAGTTAATAGTTTTAAGTTTTTTTTATTAAATTAATAAAAATAAGTAAAATAATTAATTAATTCGAGTTATATATAAATAACTATTGAAAAGGTAAATCTTTTACCTTATTATTTGTCTTATTATTTATATTACATAAGTATATTATATATTATATTAATCTATAAGAGTTATAGATTAATCTAAATACTGATTACGTAAGCAAGATTGGTTATGTAAGCTTACGTGAGCGAAAGAAGGCACTGGAAGGTAATAGAATGCGCTGGAATTTACTTGAAAGGTATTACATATTACAATTACGCATTCACTTACGTATATGCTTATTAATTATGATATAATTAATAAGCAATGAAATATTCTAGGCGGAGGATCTTATGCCTATATAAAGGCATCTTTTTACCTATCTAGACCTTTCGTTAAGCAAGTAACTTCTCATATAGTAATCTAACTATATATTCTCTTTACATTTATCAACCTCTTTTATATACGCTTAACTACTCCTATATTCATATATTCTTGCTTCTATATAAATATTCACTATTTAATACTCTTGTATAAGAGTCTTATTACTTACCTTTTAAAGCTATTATGCTAGAATAACTATTAGAAAAGTGAATCTTTTATCTTATTATTTGTCTTATTAAATATATAACTAACGTAAGCATATTATATATCATGTTAATTTATAAGAGTTATAAATACTTAAAATATTTAATAAAATTCTAAAACTTACATCTAATTAGTACCTTAAAACTAGTACTTTATAATATAAGAAATATATATTAATATTTTAATGAATATAAGAGCTAAAAATGTTTTATAAATATATCTAGACTCAGTGATTTTCTACAATACTAATAATATATTTATAATTTATAAATATAGGTATTATAAGAGTTACGTGCTTAAGAAGTTACATAATAATAAGATGCTCAACTGAAGTACGTATCTACTGAGATACGACGCTTTATACCCATGTACAGCCCGTACATAGATACAATTTACATATACATATTAAAGCGCCGACAGGCACATATGCCCGTATAAACTTAATAATAAATGCTCAGACTTAAGCATCACATGTGATTACATGTGATTACATGTAATATTTATATATTATATATAGACTATACTTTCTCATCATATCATAGAATAATCATTAATATACAATAAATTCTCTTATTATCCCAACTCGTACCTCAACTTATTTATTCTTTTTCTTTTTGCCTACCTCTAATTTCCTAGTCATTCTATTACCTTTCAGTGCCTTCTTTCGCTCACGTAAGATTACAAAATCAATCTTGCTTACGTAATTGATATTTATATTAATTTATAACTCTTATAAATTAATATGATATATAATATGCTTACGTAATATGAATAATAAGGCAAATAATAAGATAAAATATTCATTTTTCTAATAATAATTAACTCTTTTATTATATTTAAGCTCATTTTAATAGAGGCCCGTTATAGAAGTATCAAAAGTAAATATAGCTAAAAAAATTTACAATTGAAAATATTGTTAAAATATAATTAATAACATAAATACCAAAAACATAGGCCGTAAAAAGCTATAATAAATAATAAAGTTAATTCTTTATAAAGTAAGTAAAAGTAAGTAATTAAGTAGGGGTAAATAATAAAAAATAATTATTTATTAACTTCTGTAAAGGGTATACGTTAGTCGATTATATAATTAATATCTTTAATCGGATTAGTATGGGTCGTAGGCTTGCGCTAGTAGGGTGCGCACGGGCTGACGCAAATTCGAACGGCGTGAGTTTCTACAGTATTCCATTGAACTGTTGATATCCGTACTCATAGAATTCAGTGCAATATTGCCATCGCGGTACTCTATGCTATCTCTTTGACCTAGCACAAATGTTTGGAAAGGAGAGCGCCCGTTTTTCCGATATGCTGGTGGCGATTTGCAAGGTGAGATGCGTGGGAGTTTAGAGCAAATGAGATCTAAAACTGAGCAAGCCTAGATGGCCCTGTGTCAGTTACTAAAGTCCGGCGGCAACGACAATGATACATCCTTGTAACTCGCTTCGCCCGGCTCATATTTGCACAGTACTACTTCCCGATACGGGGGTTTGTCAAGGCGCCTGGTCCTGAGTCTTAGTACTTACAAGTAGGCCACGATTACCGGGACTCCTAGGTACCTCTACCCATACCTTACGCAACCAGCGTCACCAGGCTGAACTGCCTTACGCAGGAGCTCTCCCACCCTGCCTGCCTACCTACCTTAACCCACGTCGAACATCAAGCTTCCCTTCCCCATCCGAAGCTCGCCCGATCAACACCGCCATCCTCAAACGTTTAAGCAATTTCAACCTCGACGACGACATCAGAAAGCGTTCAAACTGCGCAAACTCCACATAGAATCCTCCCTCCCGCAATACACGTCGGTGCCCCGCCCGAACCGTCAAGATGGTCCTCGAAGCGGTGATGGTCGTTGTCGACAACAGCGAAAGCAGTCGCAACGGTGACTACCAACCCACAAGATACGATTCCCAAGCCGACGCCGTCAATGTTATTTTCCAGACCATCACAAATGGAAACCCCGAGTCTTCGGTCGGCTTGATGAGCATGGGTGGCAAGGGCCCTGAGGTATTGGTCACCCTCACGACAGATCAGGGCAAGATCCTGGACGGATTGCACCGTACGAAGACCAAGATCAAGGGAACATCACACCTGGCTACTGGCATCCAAGTTGCTGGCGTGAGTATAACCGCTGCTAATTTTACCATCTGGCCTTTTGCTAATGTGTCTCTCAGCTTGCCCTCAAGCACCGTCAGAACAAGTCCCAACGACAACGGATAATCGTCTTCGTTTGCTCGCCCATCGAGGAGGACGAGAAGAAGCTAGTCCAGTTGGCTAAGAAGATGAAGAAGGGCAACGTTTCGGTCGATTTCGTACTGTTCGGTGACCTGGACGACGACGACACGCAGAAGAAGCTGCAAGCATTCAACGAGACCGTCAAGGGTGGTGAGGGCTCCAACCTCGTCGTCATCCCCCCAAGCAGCAAGCTTCTTAGCGACCAGCTCATTTCGAGCCCGATCCTTCTTGGAGACAATGCTGGCGGAAGCGGCGGAGGCGGTGGTGGTGGCAGCGGCATGGAAAGCGGCGGCGGAGGCGGTAACTTTGGCGAGTTCGACTTCGACCCTGCCATGGACCCTGAGCTGGCACTTGCGCTTCGCATGAGTATGGAAGACGAGAAAGCACGGCAGGAGAAGAAGGCGCGTGAGGAGGCCGAGTCCGGTCAGAAGGAATCTCTTGAAGACATCAAGGAGGAGGGCGAGGGCGCGCCCCTCCTTGGCAAGGATGGCGAGTCAAGCAAGAAGAAGGACAAGAAGGATGACGACTCGATGGACACTTCGTAAACAGCTGTTTTCGAATCGTCTTACCCGTTCTTTGCCTGATCACTACCTCGAGTATGTAAAATAGAATACTGGCTTGGTCCTAGAGGAACATGCTGCTCAATAGAAGGGCCCCTGACTCCTGCAAACGCCGTCTCGCAATGAGCGTTACCCAACCCAAACGAAATCAGACTCCCGTGAATCATCCTCTCCATCGCTGTGTCTATCATCCGTGGCGACGTTGCTCTGAACCTATCGATTGTTGATCTCCCGGATGTATGATAATAATTTCCGTTCAAACATTTCGCAGCGGATCGGCATTTCGAGCTGATAAAACGGGTTCTTCATGACATAATCGCTGTACAGGTCGTATATCCTCCGAAGCGTTACGTCGATGTTGGTCTGAGTTGTATCGGTGAAGAGTAGGAACTTTGTGCCCGTCATGGTGGTGAAGCACTGCAGCCTGAAGTTCTCCGTCTCCATAACCTCTAGTCCCGTTGGCGGCTCAGGCCGTGCTGGTATCCCGCCTGCCGCGGTCACGCTGGCTGCTGTTGCTGCGGCCGCGGCATCTTGCCGGCTCATCAGAGGGTTGAGACGGGCGGTGATGGCATGGACGCTTTTGAACGTTGCGTAAGCATTTCCCTCTTGATATGAACGGTCAAGGGCATATGTGTTCTCACCCATGGAATGTTCCTGCCAAGACGAGATAGTCATTCGTCGTTAGCTGGTTGAGGCCGCCCTCGTGAAATGTGCGGTTGTAGATCAAGCCTCCGGCCTTGTTGATCACGATGAGCGAGAATACGGTCCTGTCGCCGAGGTCAGTGAGCGGCCTTGTTCACTTCGGGTCAGGGGGTTGCGTACATAGTTTCAGTAGTCGAACCAGCTCACAGCTGATGACTCTTTGGAAGGGAAATATGGTAATGATTTGAGAGTGTTCTCATCGATGCGATATCTGAAGCATGCACTCATATAGTCGCTCTCGATATCCCCATCTGGCCTCAGGTTAGCTTAGGAGATGTGGGTGAGGGAGCTGGTACTTCGTACCGGTCTTCTTCGTGGCAGCAGCGCAGCCCAGGCAGATACCTTCCGCACACCTCACCCTTTCCGTGCACACGAGTCGCTAAATCCACACCAAGGTCCCCTGGACAAACGCCCCCCTTCTGGTGCCTGCGCTAGCCCCATAGACATTGAGAGGCGCGCTCAGTGGGACACATCCTCTTCTTTTTCCCCGACCTGACCTTCCTGCCCTGGGCGACAAGGCAAGCAAGCACCAGGGGTGGGCATTCCCAAGACATAGCACCCGCCTTTGGGAAATTCTCAGCCTCATCTACAACCCACCTTCTTCTCACCTACAGCTTTCGCCGACAACGGCTTGCTCCCACCACAACCCCCCGCGACTCCATTCGCCTCGTCCAAATCCCCCAAATCGACGCGGCATCAGCTCTCACGGCAAAAGGGTCGACGCTCCGATCCCTGACCAGCGCGAACTTTAAAACAGTTTCCAACTCCTATCCCCCGAATTAACGACCACGAGTCGCGAAGACTCCAAAGATGTCGCATCACGCTCCCACCTCGCGCCCGAAGCCCCCTCCGCCGGGCAGCGAAGAGGCATCGTCCATCCTCAACCTCGGCGAATTCCAGCACGTCGACACGCTCACGTTGTCTGAAGCATCACTCGTCATCAACGCGCTCGTGACCAAGCGCAAGATGGATCGCAAGAACATTAACGAAACCGAGTACGTCCAATTCATAACGACGACTCGCTCTTTGAGCGATGTTCTTCGTTGTTATGGCTGCTGCCACTCTTCTTTATGCTTCTCAGGCGGCTGACCAGATCGCTTTTCTCTGTCTATAGGATGTTGACACAGACTCTCAACTACCTGGACGCCTTCTCCCGATTCCGCCAGAAAGAGAACGTCGAGGCCGTCGAACGACTGCTCTCCGCACACAAGCAGCTCGCCAAGTTCGAGCGTGCGCAAATAGGTCCGCGCCCATACCCTCTCCACTTGCCTGCTCACCGGGTCAGAAGCAACAGAAATGCTAACTGGATTTTGCCTTCTTCAGGGTCGCTTTGCTGCGAAACGGCCGAGGAAGCCAAGACACTCATTCCGTCCCTACAAGACAAAATCTCCGACGATGACCTCCAAATACTTCTCGACGAGATCAGCAAGCTCCAGAGCAGATGACGGGCTTAACCGTCGACGAATTGCACCGCAACTGGACAGAGGCAGAAACGGAGGGGTGTCAGGAGCTGGGTAATCCCAATAAAGCCACCCTTCTGTCGTCGCCCATGACACTGCCCAGCGGTTGAAAACTAGGGAGTCTGCATGGCCTAAGGTTTAAGGACGAGGAGAGAGAAAATGGAATGACTATGGAAGTGCTTCTGCGCAAGAAGTACATACTGCATGTTTGGCGTAAATCGGAAGGGGATCAGATTGTCTTTAAGTATGTGTTGAATACCAAATACCCATGAATTCGGCAAAAAGAGATCACATCCGTACTCATAAAACGATGCAATGGTCTTCGAAAGATAGGTGCTCGAGGCACTCACTAATTACTAACAGACCTAGGTAGGCACTACTCGTAGTAGCAGGGTGAGTTGCATAATTCATTTCTTCATTGAGCGGAGTAGAGATAACTATTAATAGGCCTAGCTATGGGTGACCTTTAATCTCAATCTCCAATCGCATTTCCATTTGTTGCATTTCCATTTGAACCATCCCAATTGTGCGTTGAATGTACTCTGACAAGAACCAGCAAGATCAGGCAAATCACGTATCCGAAGGCAAGCCTGGGTATCGTCAACGCCTGCCAAAAGTCGAAAACCGAAAACCGAAACCCTTTCTTTTCCTTTCCTTAGAACCAGAACTAAACCTCAAGATCCCAAGCAGTATCAGCCGACTTTCTCTCAGGTAGCCGGATCCCACTTTGACCAACTAGTCACATATCTACCCTGCGAACGCTCATGCTCCGTGGCGTTCAGAGTACCGGTGAGATAGCTGGGAGTGGTCTCCGCCACAGGGTAGAGTGAGCTGCTGTTGGGGCAGTACGGCTTGTACTTCTGTAAGCCGCTGCGACTGCTATGGATCTCGACAACCTTCGGCAGACCAGGAGAGGCCAGCTCAGCAATGGCTGCTTGCTGAGGGGGGCCATGGAGCTCAGGGGTGGCAGTGCCCAGCCGAGACATGTAGTCTGGGGTCGTCATACGGGACGTGAAGTCGGGAGTGGAATTGGCCGTTCGATAGCCCAGATCGGGAGTTGCGGTTGTGGTGCGAGACAAGAAGTGAGGACTGGCCGTGGTAGCTCTGAATGTGCCAGGAGACATCGCAGGAGAAGGCGTCGGCGGCATCGCCGGCATCCGCGTAGACATCGACTCGCGGGTATCGGGACTGACCGGGTGATTCATCATTCGGCTGGCACTCTGATCATTGACTCGGTTGAAGCGGGTTTGAGGCTCTTCGTAACGTCCTGTGAGTTGTCAGCTTCCTTTCTCTTATACAATAGTGGACAGTAGAAAGCAGCTTACTTCCGTAGGGGGAAAAGACCTCCTCGGGGCAGAACGGATTGGTAGTCATGGCCGGCTGGCTGATCTCATCCTCGGAACTGTGCTTGCGTCCGTCTCTGCTCATGGAGCTGATGGACTCTCGAGCTCTGAGCTTCTTTCTCTGCTTGGTGCACAGAAAGTAGGCAGCAATGACCATGCAGATCACGACCAAGGCAGAGACAGCGATGCCAGCCTGCGCAGCGACCGGGAGGTCATGTTGATCAGACTTGACCGCCAGGGCAGGAGCCGAAGCGTCGACGGCCTGGGTCTCGACGGGGATATTTGGAGTGTAAGTGTGGGGAGAAACGAAGAATGGAGTTCCAGTGGGATCGTCGGAGGTGATAGTAGAGGCAGAACCACCATCGTCAGTGAGCCAAATACCTCCGGTTTCGGTGGGCTCGGGCGTGCTGAAGGTAGTAGTCGGACTGTCAGAGGAGGTCGAAGTCTGGACCTTCTTGTCAGTGGTAGTAGAGGTCGCCTTCGACGAAGATGCAGTGGATGAGACCAAGACCGGCGCGGCGACAGATGCGATGGTTTTCTGGGCTTGGAGCTCCGTCGCAGTCAAGTAAGGGTTGAACTCATCCAGGCATCGGCCATCGCCACAAGGGTTCACCTCGCAGCAACCCTCGAAACCTTGGCAGGTGTAGTGGTATGAGCCGATCGGGCACATCTTCGCCTCTCTGGCAGGAATGGAGACGCCCATGTTGGCGGTTGACGATATTTTCCTTGTCGAACAAATCAACCGGCGTGATGAGTGAGAAGCAAAGGAAAAGTATGACACAGTCAATGGGTAGATGGTTTGTGAACCACCATCGAAGCAGTGGCTGCGATGACGATGGCGATGGTAATGGCGAAGGATGAAGCAAAATGGAAGTGTGATAAATGAGCGACGATGAGAAACTTGGAGGTGGGTAACAAGACGGTATTCCACCAAAGTGAATCAGCGAAGAAGAGAAAAGTCGCACTGCCAACTCAGTGATGATAGGTAGACGGGCTGGAGTAGTTTTTCCGGTGTAAAGGTCCACGGGTGGAGAGGGAAGGAGCTCTCGACGGACGGTGGTTGGCGGTCTGTCACTTGGGATGGAAGGAAGGAAGGGACGGTTGTGTGACCAGCCTCACCTCGTGCCTGCCTTACCTGACCATAAGGTAGGGTCGTGAGGTAGGTACCTACCTACCTGCAACGTAACTTCCTCTCTTAGCACGCTGGACTACGTGCTCGGGTGACCCGGTGAATGTTGACCATTTTCATGCAGTGCTTGAAGGCATTCAAATTCGGACTGGCGATCCCGCCAAGGCAGCACCACAGTCCCCAACTTGCACTTACACGGCAATCTAGAGGTGCCCTCGCCCCAAATCGAGAGGATCAATGAACGCCAACTTGTACTACAGAACGATTCTGGCTCGTGATTCTTTCATGGTCCTGCTCGCCGCGTTCGGGGAGCGACTGCGTTGGTGTTTGCTCGCGGATGAGTGCTTCATAGGGTAGGAGTCGAATGTCGCCCCTCACGAAAAGACGCAAGGGCCAGAATCACTGAACGACGGAAACGGAACGGCGACGTCGCACAAGCCCAAATGCCAAATGCATCAGACCCGTTGCATCTGCCACCGCGTCACGGACCGAGACAGTGACCGACGTTGACGGGTGGCCCCTAGCCGACGAAAAAGGCTCAGATGCGCGGCCAGATCTCAGTCAAGGACGGTTGCGATGAAGAAGAGAAAGATGACGGCTCGATGGACGGGCAACGCCCAAAAGCTTTGAATCAGAAACCAGCCAAACCAAACTCCATCTATTAATGCCACCACCCCAGCTAAACCTATTGCACGCCATCGACACACCAGGTAGTCAGACTGCCACGCCTGTGTGGGTATTTCAAAACATTGGGAAGAACTTTTTGCTCGCCAGTCCGGTTACGTTTTATACGATATCGCTTACAACTTCTCCAACAGAAGCTTGCTGCCAAGGTTGCCCACGGGCCTGTCTGCCTTCTTAGCACCCTTCTTGCCCTTCTTGGCACCCTTCTCGCTATTCTCGCTGTCCTTCTGGGCCCTGGCCTCCTTGGCCTCCTTCTGCTCGGCCGTCTCTTCAGTGGCGGCCTTTTGAAGGTCCTTCTTGTGCTTCTTGAGCGTCTTCTTCAGCTCAGAGGCGTGGCTGAAGTCCTCGGCTTCCAGCATGTTGAGAACGACAAAGGAGCTCGGGCCCGTGGCCCAGTCCATGATATAGTCCTTGACGATCGGGTACAGAACATCGGCGAACTTCAATGGTGGCTCGGCGAGCTCGACCTTGCCGGTCTCCTTGTTGAACCTGCCTCCGGCAATCAGCGTCTTGATCAACCGACCTCCGAACGCTGTCCGCGAGACGTGAACAGGCGTAGGGACACCTTCCACCTCCATGGGCTCGGCGCTGGGGTCGCCCTCAGCGACTGCTGCTACGGCCTCAAGAGCTGCTGTCTTGTCGCCCTCCGCAGAAAGCAGAACGTCCGCAACCAGCTGGCAACCGAAAGGGTCTGCGACCAAAACCGGTGCAGCTTCAACAACGGCTGTTATAAGCGCAGGCGACATAACAGCAACCAACTCCTTCCTTCTTATCTCGGCATCCTTCTTACTGGTGGTCTCGCGAATGGCATGAACCTCTTTGAGAATCGTAAGATCATCGCTCATGTTGTCAGGGAAAAGAGCTCGGGTCTGGCCTTCCAACAGGTACAGAAGTGTGGCCTTCGCGAAGGGATTTGATGTGGAAACAACGATGTTCTCTGTCGCCTTCTCCTTGTCGTCGCCAATCAGCTCGGGGAAGATGGCCTTTGATGACATCTTCGTGTCGTCAATGACATCGAAAGCGGTGAGAATCACAATGTGAGCATTGGCGTCACCCGACATCAGCACGAAGTTGTCCTTGTATGCCTTGAGCAGGTTTCTGCGGTCCTTGGAGGAACCGTGGGCCAGAAGCAGAGACACCAACCGGGATCCAGAGCGGGTGAAGGCCATGTTCTTCAGCAAGTCACCCTCCTCGTCGTCCTTGATCATCTCAACAAACAGGTTGAAGTTATCCGTACCAGGCTCGACGTTGAGGAAATACTGCAGCATGGCGTCGTGAAGCATTGTGAAACCGGTCATCTTCTTCTGGACCAGCGAGTTGATCATGTCGTTGAGACTCTTGAGGATGTAGGCCTTCTTGCTGGGGTTCTGCTCGAGGATCGTCGCCAGGTCTGAAGTCGGTTTCTCCTCCTTGCTGCGCTCCAAGAGAGCAAACTCGGGTCCGTACCATTCTCTCAGAAGGATGGCCTTCTGCTCCTTCGTCGCAATTTGTCTGTAGATGTCGTCCAAAATCCATGAAGCCTCGGGGTGGTTGATCAACTTCCGCACCTTGCCGTAAAACTCGGGGATGATGAGATCCTTGATCTCGCCGTCGGCCTGCACCACCATCTTGGCGATGAGGAACTTGGCATATCGACTCTCAGCAAGCTGGGTGTAGGTACCCTGCAGCTCGCGGGTGATCTGTTTCCGTTGCGTAGCCGTGGCGTACTTGAGGGCGGTCTGGACAGCGCGCGTGGCGTCGTGCTTGAGGACAAATTCCTTGACGCGGCCGGTGATGATGGTGAAGAGCTCGTCGACTAGCTGCTTTCGCTCCTCGGACGGAACGTGGGACTTTCTCCGCAACCTCTCCCAGATCTTCTTGGTTCGGGCGAGTTCGTCGGCGAGGGGCTTGGCCATCTTGCGCTCCAGGGCGAGCTTCTTCTGGATGGCATGGGACTCTCTCGAGTTTTGGCCTGTTGCAAATCTCACAGTCAGTACAATTGCAAGCTTCCACCGGCCAGGCAATGCATCGCATAGGTTCCTTACCTCGCTCTTGGTTAAAGTTCGTGTTCTTGCTGGCACCATTGGCGCCATCCTGATTGCCCTTGGCCTGAGCCTGTTGGGCCCGGTCGCGAGGAGTAAGCTGGACGCCACCGTCGTCCGAGTCTTCAGAATCATCGAAGTTGTCCTCGTCATCTTCCTCGGGGGTCTCGACGGGTTGGGCCTTCTTCTTCGAATCGACCTTGGCCTTCTTGTTGAACTTTCCGTCGGAAGCACCCTTGCCAGCGGCAGGGGCACTCTTTCTCTTGACGCCGATGGAGGCCATTGTGAGGAATTGGCTGGCTGTTGTGGTTGTGGTGGACAGCCGGGATTATCAATCGCAAAGTGTGAACGTTTTCTCGGCGTACAGAGGAAGCAAAGCGACTGGACTGCACGGGTGGGAACCTACAGCGGTCGCAATTGCTTAGGGAATTTCTGAAATTTTTATTTGAATTGCCGGGCGGTCAGGACAACGCTAAGCTGGATTCAACTTACCACCCCACCACTGTGCATGTACGTACCTCTCTGCCATCAACGGCCATCCTCGAGCCGCTAGCTACATCTTCAACGGCATCTTGTAGTTACAAAACAGCAACCAGCGCATTGCCCCAAGCTTCCAGAAGTCTCCTGGAAGACACAGACAACTCAAGATGGGGCGCGAAGAACAAGTCGAAGAGCGCGAGGTGCTCGAATCCATCTTCCCAGATGAGATCACCGGTACGATTACCCCACCATGCCACCTTGAGCCAGCCCATCCACTAAACCCCGGATCATATAGACATCTCAGAGACGGAGTTCAGAATACAAATCGCCCTAGACATCCCCGGCGAAGAGGAGGACCCGCCAACAATGTTCCTCCAGGTCCGATACCCAGACGCATACCCCGACGAGCCACCCACCCTCGACCTGCAATCCGTGCGTGATGCGGCGCCCTACGAGTGGTTCAGCGTCGCGGACGACAAGGACCAGCTCCTCAAGGGCCTCGAGGAGACGATCCAGGAGAACCTGGGCATGGCCATGGTCTTCTCCCTCGTGTCGGCGCTGAAGGAGGCCGCGGAGATGCTCGTCGAGGAGCGTAAGCAGCAGAAGGAGAAGGAGAAGGAGGAGCGTGCGGCGGCGGCCGAGCGCGAGGAGAACAAGAAGTTCCACGGAACACCCGTGACGCCCGAGACGTTCCTAAAGTGGCGCGACGACTTCTTCAAGGAGATGAAGGAGTTGAAGGAGAAGGAGGAGGAGGAACGCCTTGCCGAGCTGAAGAAGGCCAAGGTCAAGGAACCCATCAAGTTGTCGGGGAGGCAGCTGTGGGAGCGTGGTCTCGCTGGCAAGGCTGACTTTGATGAAGAGGAAGAAGGGGGCCTTGCGGAGGGTGTCGAGAAGCTCAAGGTCGAGGCGGTATAGTATCCGTCGTGGAGGAAAACAAATTCAGTGCATTTACTCGGCGTTTTTTTGGAAAGGGGCAATCTAAGAAGAAAAATGGTTGCGGTTTCTGGCTCTCAACCCTCATCTATATGCCTCGACGAACGGATCCTCTTACGGAGAAAGAGGAACCTCATGACTTTTGACAACTTTTTCCCAGTACCAAACTCCAAACTCCCAAGTCCCAGTCAACGAAGAAAAACTTCCCAGTGGTCATAACGTTTATCATCAACGTTGTCTTATATGAAGTGCCAACCATGCCATGCCATTTACTCTTCCATCGCCTCATCACCATCACTACCAGCATCCTCCCATCCATCATCATACTCCTCATCCTCTGCGCCGGCCGGGGGCTCGCCAAGCTCCTTGTTGATAGAAGCAAACAGCTCCTTGGCGTGCTCGCCCAGCCTCTCGTCCTCGTACTCCTGCGCCTCGTACAGCTTCAAGCAGCGCATCAACCACCGCCGTGCCGTATCCCACGTAACCTTCCAATCCTCCTCGTCCTCGCTCAGCTGCGCCGCCTCGCCCTTGGCCTTGACCTTGTCGCCGGCAATGAACAGAGCCCACCCGCCGAGATACCACGCCTCAACGCTCTCATCATCGTCGCCGACGAGCCTCTCCAGCACCTCAATCGCTTCCTGCTCCATCTCCACCTCGAGCAGCAGCCGCACCAGGCTGATGCGCGTAGGGAACGCCGGCACATTGGGATCCAGCGGCGGCAAGTCGACCCACAGCTCCAGACTCCTCGCCAGCGCCGCTTTCGCCTCGTCAATCTTCTCCTGCGATATCCGCACGTTGGCCACCGTCTGCCACGTCTCCGCCGAGTCGGGCGCGACCAAGCCGGCCTCGGTGACGAGCGCCTCGCACCTCTGCTCCGCGTCCACCTCCCACGACAAGTCCGTCATGTACACCTCCGCCACGGCGCACAGCGTCCCGCCGAGCTTCTGCTTCTTCTCGTCCAGCGCAGACTCCTGCTCGGCGCTGCGCTTGTCGAGGTCCACGAGCGCCTGGATCTGGCCCCGCAGCGACTGCGCGCCCTTGTCGAACCAGTTGACGCTGTCCTGCCCTCCCTCCTCGCTGAGCTGCGCGAGCCAGAGAAACTTTTCCGGCCCGCCGCCTATGCGCTCGTCGAGGGCGCCCTCCGGGTCCAGCTCGACAGCGCGCAAAAAGTACGCCCTCGCCTCGTCCACCTCGCCTATCTCGACGCTGATTTGGCCCAGGAGGTTCAACGCCGCCAACTCATAATCGCCGCCTTCGCCCGTTACATCGAGGGCCTCCTTGCCAGCCGCGTAGGCGCTCTCCAAGTCGCCTTCTGTCAGTTTTGTGGCGGCTTCGACGAGCTTGTGTGCCGCGTTGGCGGGCTTCTTTTGCGTTCTCTTTTTTGACTTCTTGTTGGGGCGGGTTGGCGCCATTTTGTGGTGAGAATGTGGTGAGAAGTGTGATGTTTGGACGAAGAAGTATGTGATGGTTCTAAGCGAAAGAGTTATGAATTTTTCATGAATTTGCTGTAAGGAATCTAATCGAGTGATGAGAGTGAGGAGTGAGCTGGACTCATGAGGCAAGGCAGAGTCGCAATGGTGGGTTCAAACTGGGCCAGTCGAAAAAAATTCTTATCGCAGTGTTATAATCTTATCGATAACGCCATGACGATGGCGGGGTTATTCGACACCGAAAACCTCGCACTCACCGACCCTCACCGACCAGCTAGAGTTGAAAGGTGAACAACTTAGGTCAAGTACCTCTCTCCACCATATGGTACCAGGGTCTTTACCATTGATTATCAAACTTGGAAGAACTTGAGCCTTTGTGGCTTAGTAAAAAACTGAATTATGCGTGTGTAACTGCAACAGACCACCTCAGTCCGGTGTACCCGAAACCGAGAAGGCCGGCTGTTCCACACCGTCATAGCCCAACGGAACCCAGCTTCATGGTTTACGGGAACTCTGAAAGTCTAAGTCTACGGAAATACAATACACACTACTTGCGAGTGGAAAAAATAGTCATTCATTAAGTTGGTGATCTGGGACTGAGCAGCCCGATGGAGGCAGTGTCATAACTAGATATAATTCTCGGCCCCGCCATCGTCCGTAAAATAATGAGATCCTCGATGATAAGAATGACAGGCCGCCCATCAGATACCAGCCTGGTCCAGTTTTTAAGACGCCGTCGCTAATAAGCACCCAAGGCCAATTGTACCAACCGTACTCCGTTCCCGACCATGTCCCGCTTGCTCTGCACAGAGGAATTAGGTTACCCCTCTTGTGGATTTATACATCGTGTACAATAAGACTCATAGGCCACCCTGAAATGACATTAAGTGCCCTATTTAAAACAAAATAGAATTAAAAGGAAAGTGCGCGTCGGGTAGAGTGACGTGCTGTATCACTGACCTCTGCCTCCCGCCGACGAGCTCCTGCTGGAGGGCCCTCGCTCGTCGACAAGCTCAGCAGAAGTCCCTAGTAAGTCGACCTGCTGATCAGAGCCAGGATCAACTCTGCTGATGCTGTGCTGCGCGACTACCCCATAGCTGGTTGGCCGCTCGGTACTTGGCGTCCTACGAATGTTGAACTCTTCCAGAGATGAACCGTTGGAAGAGAGTCGTTTTTGATGAGATTCTGTCCGCTCAAAGGGAAGTCGCCCGGGATTTGGGGACGAAGTAAGGCTGCCCTGTGCTGTCGTGCTTCCTGAAGGCTCGCCATTTAGCGGCCCAGCGGGCGACGTCGGCGGTATAAGGTTGAACGAAGGGGCTGGAGAGTGCCCCCGGCCCATGCCAGAATCTCTCTTTGAGCTCTTCCGAGGTATTTCGGGGATGTCCGACTCCGTGAATTGGCGCCTGTGCTTTTGTGAAGCTGACCGGCTTGCCTTGGAAGGAACCCGGCTGGGCAGCTTGAAGCTGCCAGAACTTGCGATTCCTGGCAAGGTTGGTGGTACATCAGACACCTTCTGTAGTCCGATCTCTTCGATCTCCGATTCGACCGAAACGACCGAAACGACCGAGACGCCATCATCGTTGAGCAGATTTTCCGAGTTTTCTGCATTTTCGGGGCGTTTCCGTGCCGCTTTGTTCTTCGGTTCATCGTCGTCTGATTCAATGGGCCCGTTTCTCAAAACACCCATGGCCACCGGAATTCCCTCTGGTGGGGGCTCAGCGTCGTACTCTGCGTCGGCGGCTGCACGCATGGCCGGTGGCATTCGCGAGCTTCGTACAACTTCGAATCCTTTGCCCTTTTCCTTTGTCTTACCCCCAAACATGGTGCGGAACCATCCTGCGGCGGTAGCCATTGGTTTGGTCGGATCGGCAGGGCCAGTCCTCAGTTTACGACCGATGCCCTCCGAGTTGAGGGCTGGTCCTCGAACGCCGTAGTAGAAATCCACCTCTCTCGTCGAGTAGTCCGCTCTCGGGGTCAAGTTAATGGCTTGAGGGGCGGGTGTCGGGCCCCTTGATAGTTGTGCTTCCAAGTCTGCCGTAGCATCGGCAAGATGTGCTCCCCCTTGGCTGTAACGTCGAGAATCGGCGACGGAGGCTCGGTGAGGAAGGGACGTGGATGATCCATTGAGAGTGTCGCCACGGCGTCGCGGAGGTCGATAGTAAGGATCGGCAGATTCGACGGTGACGGCAGCGGGAGGTCGAGTGGCTGCAGCAGGTGACGGCAAGAAAGAGAAGGTGCTAACTTCACCTGGCGTTGTCGGGGTAAAGTTGCTACCACTGTCGAAGTTGCGGACTTGACCGGTATACGGATCGATGCTGTCTAGTGCGGAAGAGCTCCGTTGCTGGCTTCGGAGGAGGAAACCACTTCCTGCCGACTCGCTTCTCAGTCTGCCGCCCCGCATTACATATCCGGTCTTTGAATTTTCATCGGCGTCGAGCATGCCCGTGGTCGACAGTTGGCTTGCTCGTGAAGGACCATTTTCCCTTCGAGACGTACGACGTTGCAGCTGTCGCATACCAAATATCTTTGACAGCCCACCGCGTTGCAGACCCCGCGTGTCGTCGCCTCCAGCACCCATTAGTCGCGCAGTTACCTCAATTATCGTTTGCAGTGCGTTCAGGAAGAATCCAAGAACCAATACACAGGCGTGAATCAGTAGGATGGTGTAGCCGATCCATCCTTTGGGACCCTCTGTAACGCCCATTTGCGGTACGAACGCCACCATGAGCATGACGGTGGTGAAACGCAAAGCAGAGAAAAGCGTATGGTAGGCATTCATAGATGTTGGAGACTGGAAAGGCCTGAAAGCGTGAAGGGTCAGGAGGTGAACGACTTCACAGATAGCAAGCAAAACGATTTGTGCGATGCCAACAGGTTGCACGGCGCCAATCGCAATGCCGCGGATGAACGTCAGCGTGACAGGAATCAACGCAAAGGCCGCTGCCTCGTCTGAGTAGGTGTTGTAAAGAGGCCCATAGAGCAACACAGTCGGCAAATCATCGAATAGGACAGCTCTTGGCCGGGTCCTAAAGATCAGATAAAGGAGCCATGCGGCAAAGCATACCAACATGAGAAGGGTGATGATAGCTAGAGCAACAGCAAACTCGCGTGACTGACTGGCAACCACCAGTTGAAATGTTGACAGTGCAACAATAGGCAGCAGAAGGTAGTTGAAGACGACACGCACGACATTACCGACAGAGAACGGTATGTTCTTAGCACGGAGGTCCTCTTCAGGGGTATCGCTGATAAACCGAAGCACCCAGCGGAAGAAAAAGCCGATTTGAATCAGGACGAAGAGAGCCGCGACGATGACGCAAACCCAGACCATCGTTCCCGCCCAGATATCTTCGACATCGGTCATGCCCACCATTTGCGCGTACTGGTGCAGTCCGTATGTGCCATTGGTGACGTAAATACCGTCTTGAATCGATTGCCAGCCTGGGGACTTGCTAACAAAGCTCTCGTTGAACATCAGCGCAGACCAACCCACCTGACTGACGACTGGTTGGTAGAATCCGGGATAGTTGAGAGTCAGCCCTCCGGTGAGAGCCACAAATTGAATGTACTGAAGGCAGTCTCCAAATCCCGGTGTCACCAGTCGCAACAGATCAGCGTCTCGGCCATAATTTGTCGTCCAGTGAAAGATGTCTGTCGAACCCCACGGACTGAATACGGAGGCGAACATGGTCGCAAATCCTACGAAGAGAAGAACCACAAGCGGCAGATAACGCAGAAGATCGCGAAGACTTCCCAGGTCCGGGGTTACAGTGGCCGAGGCACATGCGATATGTTTGGCAGAGTCGTCGCCGTATATGACTTGCAATGTCGCGGCTAGCGATGTAAATGCATAGGACGATTCCATCTTGGCCGTGATGTTTACAGAGGGCAAGATCCCGTACGGGTTGGTACTGGAAAGATGTCAGTCGACATGCAGCAAGATTGCCCTGGAGGGATGCTTACATGGCCGTGTCGTTGAAGACGGGGGGAAGAGGACACGACCCATTGACCAGGCTGTAGTTGCAGAAACTAGAGACGTTGCTGAATGGCTCGTAGGTCAAGAAATTGACCTTGCTGGCAAGAGTTGTGACTTTGTTCCCTTCTTTCGTGTAGTCGAGGATTTTGCCATCCGTACTGCTAGAATCATTCCACAGCGGAGAGCCTTTAACAGGCAGATCCACCTTGTAAAGAGAGCCAGATACATTGCCCCATACGATGATTTGAAGAAGGTGATCTGGGTTTTCGGTATCGAAGCGAGCGTCTACGTATACGGGACTCCATTGCAGCGGCAAGGGATCGAAGTTTCGGTAGCTGTCGGGCAGGCAGTTGTCGAAAGGGATCAGAACTGCAGAGGCAGGCCTTATCAACAGGCAGGCGAGAATGATGGTGAGCAGCGCGCCGAAGGAGTCCACAGCAGATCTACGGGTTCGAGATGGCAATGGCGACAGTCGACGACCATGGCTGCGATCCATCGTGAGCGAGTGTGATGAAGGATATCGGGATCCTTGAAGGGGCGAGCGAGTGTTCTGCCTCGACAGCGAGTGTAAAGACTTGACGGGTTGGAATGACAGCGAAGGAACGCGCTTTCCACGTCCAGGGTGGGCTATCACTGCATGTCTTGGAAGGCTCTCGGGATGGGGTAGGTCTCGTGGAGAAGCAGATGGAGGCATTCGCATGTTTCGGACAGGCGTCCCGCCTGGCGTGTAGTCGAACGCTGCTACAGAGGCAGGAGTGACGGTTGAAGCGGCGTGGGGTGAACGAAAGACGCACTGAGGCAAAGAAGAGAAACACGGGAGTGGTGTGCTAGAATCCCGGCATCTTGGGGGTACTGCAGCGGTCGCCTCGTATGGTATTGTCGCCGTGATTCCGTTCCTCGATTCGTTGGCGCGATATCGTGATCTCGACCTTGCTCGCCTTTTGTCGAATTATTTTCCTTCCAGTATCCGTAGGGGTTTGGCTCGTAGCCGTTGATGTGTTGATCGCGTGTTAGGTTGGCCTGTGCTATGGAAGAATGAAAAATTCGAAGAGGGGAGAGGGAGGAATGTTGGCTGAGTGGGTGTGTATGGTGGTGTCGGTGGTGTCGGCGGTGCAGGTGCAGGCAGGAAAGACGGGATGTTGTTGCGCGGGAGAGCAGCTCAATGGAAGAGTTGGAGTGAGCCGGGGGAGCAGGTACTTGGTAAGAGTACGGGATACCAGGGATCCTTCTCTGGTTTCTCGTCCTTCTTTTGCAAAAAGTGACTTTGGAGCATGTGCCTCGTAGACCCCCTGTCCATGCCCTGTCAAGGTGAACCTGTGAGGTGCGGATCGGTCGACCAGCTCAGCACAAGACAAGCAGAATTGGCCCAGACCTACGGTTAGTAATTACTGCGTAGGTTCAATTTGGGGAACTTTGCGTCTGGGATGTAGGCAAAAGAGCTGAGGTGCGACACGGAAACGATTCTACTGCAAGATGGACTGTGGCTGAGCATTCTCACTTCATGTTCTCGGGTCTTGTGTCTGCACGTTTACTCGCCCTTGGTGCCCCTTGTCGCCCTTGGTGCCCTCCCGTGCCACGGACAGCTCACACGTTGTATATAAGACGATGGAATGATTCCAGTGGAGGTTCACTTCGCCTTCGGTCCTCGGTGCTGTCGGCCATTGAGGACTCATCAGTGCGCTGGCCAGCTGCTAGGAGCAGCCCAGTTGCTCAGCATGATCCGGGGCGAGGCCGCGAGAGACTTGATGGGATAGGAAAGGTTCGAACTTCAAAGTACTTTTCCCGATGTATTCGTATAGATTGAGAGAATGGAAGGTACTTCGGAGCAAGTACCTTTTCTCAGCACCTTCTTGCCAGGGGGTAGTTTGCTGAGTGCCTGCTCACTGGGTTCCCGTTTCCTTCTCAAGAAGGAACTGAGTGTGCTGAGTTCCTTCAACTGCCTCCCCATTAATCCATCCATCCACATCATTCTTTCCCCCAAAAAGCCACAAACCCAAGGGGTCCCCGGGCGCATTCAAAGTTGCCGGTTGGCTGCCCGTTAGACACCCCCAGCCAGGCCATGGATGTGCAGTTCCCCACTCAGTAAGGCGCAGCCGAGCCCCGTCCCTCCTACCTCGCCCGTCTGGCCCATCTCTATTCGTACCCATTTCAATTCAGGTCAGGTCAGCCAAAAGTGGGAGCGACCTGAGAAAATTGGTCACCTTATTACGGATACACACTCTCTTCGGTCTCTGGGCTATCGATATTCTGTACTTTGTCTGCCCACCACTGCCACTATTTTCTACATGTCACGACGAGCCCACCCGACCATTTGCTCAACTCGTCTCGTCGCCCAGCCGATTAACAAGGCCCAGACATGGCTTGTCCCCTCTCTAGTCTTCGCTTCGCCGCTATGAATACCCTGGACCCCTTCTGTTCTCTTCTGGCTACGAACAACTAAAGTGGCCTCACGCAGGGTCACTCTCCAACCACGCACCATTCGAATACCTACCTAATACACCATCTATCCGTCTCCAGGGCAAACCTAGGCTCGTCCCAAGGAGACAGACGACGGGGGGCCGATACATAAGGTAAGACAAGGGCGAGGGGAAGAAGGTTTCCCAATGGCAGTGCTTGTCTAGCGCCCGGCCTGAAACCAAGACTGCCACCCTATGACGTGCCGATGGAATTCCGCAAAGCCAGCTCACCTCGATCCATTTCAACGCCAATAGCTGGCGTGAGACCTTGTCTCTGACTTGGATGTGTCTAATGTCATCCGTCGCGCACTCAATGGGACCGTCTCACATGGAGATAACACGCCAACCTCGATGTAATTTAGGTAGTACTGGCAAGTAAGGCACCGTCCTCCCCTAATCACCAAAACCACATCTGTTAACAATCAAGTGGCCCAGCAGTGTCAGAACGTACCGTGAGCTCATGCAGAGCAGAGAAGAGCAGGGCAGGGCAGAACCAGGGCAATGACACACGCTGAGCCCAAGCACCCTTCAGGCCTGAGATGGCAGTTCAATCGCATTTGTGACTTGCATACGGACATCTCCAGCCCCCCGTGCTTGCAGCGTGCAGCGGAGGCCAGTTCGTCTGTCTTTCTGCTTTTGGACGGACTCTGTTGTTACTTCACTACATCAAGAATGGCAGTCTTCTAGTATGCGTATCCGTACAATGCTACAGTACGGTAACAGGCACACGGCACGCCTGGCCGACAAATTTCTGCCCTCATTCTCGTCTCCCCTTCCGGTTACCGACACACTGTCCGCCTTCGGGAAACAATTTGGACGGAGATGAGGAGAGTCGCGCATGGGCCAAGTTGCCAGGATCATCAACTAAACATAAATGTGGCAGTACGGAACTATGACTTCAGACGAAACCCGGACCACCGATCGATACAGTACCTGCCGAATCCTCATTGTCTGTGCAATTTGTTGGCAAGCATCCAACTGGAATCTCCATGCTACCTAACAAATGAGCATCAATACTGGCATCATCGTCAGTATTCGCCATGGGAGGAGACGCAAAAACGACAAAACCACCGATCGAGATCTCAATGTCTCTGGCAATACCAGTTTCCAAGGCACTGAGCAAGTAGCCCACATGCATCGCAGAGGATCGTCCAACCCGCGGCACCGTGTGCGACGCTCCAATCCCAGCAGAGGACTTCTACGGCGCCCACGGCCAGGAATACCTGTCGATGTTATTGCTGGCTGGGCCACAGAACCCCGAGCTACTACGGAGCACAAGTAGCAAGAAAAACCTGCCAGCAAGGACCCCAGCATTTAATCATGATTGACGGGTTCTCCATGTATAGCATCTGGCTATTATACCCCCGGTTGCACAACCCGACACTTCATTCGCACAACACATCCTTGGCCATAGCCATCGTATCTATACTCGTACATGCTCATAACATCGTCACCCGTCTCCTGCAAAAAGAAAATCGACTCGGATCGCATGGCAATATGATCTTCCAGACTCAATGCGATGCCCAAACTGAGCCATTATCCGTGCCTAGAGGCCAGATCGATCATCTCAAAAAACTAGGAACAAGTCAACACCTCGATTGCCTGGGCACGTAGGACTTACCTGGCCAGCCTTGCTGTGCTTGCGTAAGTAGCTCAAGCAAACGTACATCAAACTTTGGTAGTGAAACATTGACTCTCTTCGTCAGAACCCATCACGATAACTCGCCAGTCGACTAACCCAATCATACCGCCTTTCCCTCCACCACCCGCGGCGACAGCAAATAGGAATCAGATTCCTTCGCGTCCCTAATACGAACTTCTGCACAAGCCAGTCTCCATATGTCTCGCTTACTTTGGCTGTAGCTATTTTCGGCAACCTTTAATACTTTGCTCCAGACATCGACCTGGAGGCTCTTTACCCGGCATGGTATGCATAATTTTGCACCGCTGATTGAGTGTCATCACGCTGTCCGAACGACGCTCTTCAGCCCCACTTGCCCATTGCTGCCGCCGTCCCGGACGACGAAGAAGCCGATATCATATCATTCCGCCTGACTTCGCGGTCTGTTGCTAGCTCCCTGCTGCCTCCTTGCTCAACAGCGCAGGTCTATGAGCTTTCTTCTCACTTGATGGCCGTCCGTATTATGGTATGCTAAGATGTTCACAGATGGGTGCAAACCTGTGTTTCACGGGCCGGATCTCAGCTGTTGATACTGGCAGTGTGCGGGCTTTACAGATGCTACATTGGCCCAGTGCAGAGGAGTATGGTTCCAGGTCAACCTCGTGGTCCCCATGCCTCACTCCGCGTGCTCACCTTGCTCGCCACTGCATAGCTTCTTCCGGGAAATGGCCAGTCTTGCCCTCTATCCTGTAGCCGTCTTCTATATCTCACCGCTTCGCAAGCACCTACACTGTTTCTAGGCCGGCCCAGCCCTATCCTCGCGGGAACCTAATGTGAGACAGGAAGACGCCAGGAAGCCGGAGCCTGTGGCGTGCCGTCACCGGGCTTGCCTCACATGCGCCGTTACGGGCAAGCCACAGGGCCAACCCGAGTCAAATGGCAGCCACTTGTTCTGTGTCACTTGCGCCCGAACGGTGTGGTCAAGTAGTATAATTAGGGGCCCCGAAAGTTGCTGCAGAAGGAGAAGTTCAAACTACTGCGGCCTTTACACACCAGCTAGGATAGTAGGTAGGCACCGGCGCAGCAGGAATACGATGCTGCCCTCTTCCTCGAACCCCACCCGTTGCTGTGCTGCATCATGGAGAGGATAGAAAGCCATCTCAGCCTCTTACCGACGTTCCATACTCGGGGAAACGATGTTCGGCTGCAAGGCACTCGTGTATACCACTGCGAAGTCTCCTTTCGTGGAAACGGTGAAGGCAAACCCCCCACCCCTTTTGAGGCCGTGACAATATTACATATGGGATATGGCATCAAGACAAATCGTCATGTTAGGCCAGCCGAGTCCCCTTTTTCAAACCGATAACACCGCTTTCAACGCGGGAAAAGAATTCAATCCCAGTCCCACAGAGATTTAAAGGAAAACCTGTCTTGGCTGTATACATTCAAGTACGTGTACTCATCCAAGGGGCCGGGTTTTGTGGGCTCCCGTATCATCGCTGCCTGTCTCTGATCGGCAGCGCCACCCCTCCACCCCCCCTTTTTCATCCAGCCTTTCTTCCCCGCTGCTTCCGCAATGGAGTGACGTACCCTTGAGACGGCATACACGGTATCGGTTCAACTTCACGGCTTCTACCCTGAGTGATCAAGTATTTTGCTGTTCGGGCAAGATATACTGCAATTTCCTACGTTACAACCGCTGGTTTCGATCAGCCCGTGAAGATTGGTCCTGGAAGTCGGGGCATCCCCATTCTTTATACATGTACATACTTGCTTTGTAACACTACCGGCCCTCTCTTCGTTACCTACTCAATGTGCCAAATCTTTAAAACATGACGAATGCATATGTATCCCCAGTTTGATAGGATGATAGGTATTCTCTCACCTCTCACAGCCCCCCGTATCTACCTAGCCCCCGGATTTCTCGACATACTCCTGAACACGGGCCTATCATTAGACCAGGTAGGCATGAAGCTATATAGGGTGGATAGAATCGAAGGTTCCAAGGACCATCGTGTGCACGTAGGCTTCTCCAAGAGTTCCAACTTTGAGCAAGTTCTTGGAAGTAAGAGGTGACACAGATACAGAGTAAGGCGTGAGATAGCTACGTACGGTAGACGAGACTGTGAGCCGAGCAAAGAATATGTAAGGCAGAGATGCGTCCATTAAAATGAAGATGTGGTGGTCGTTATCTATATAAAGTAAGTAACAGCCCTGCATACACATAATGATAACTTCTCCCATAGCAAAGCCGCCTTGTAAACGCAACTTACACCTCGCCCTCGAACGATATGACACCCTCCATCAAGCAAAGTGACTTATCTCATCATACTCTTATGTCTCCTTCTTCGCACAATGCCCCAATATCAATCTCAAGCTCCACTTCAACTCCATGCTTCTCATACACCCAGGCGCCCACGATTTCTTGAAGCTTGTTGCTGATATTCTCCATCTCATTCCTTCCAATGTGAAACGCCGCTTCCTGAATGCCTCTGGTGATATAGAGATCATAGTTAGATGCATCGGTAACCTGCTTCCGCAGATCTTGTAGATCAAGTGTAAGTGGCCGTGTCTGAGTATGAGCCCCCGAGAACAGCTTCTCAAATGGGAGCATCTCCGATCTCATCCTTTTGTGTACCTTGGTTCTCGACCTGGACCTAGATGCTAGTCTCTTCTTCAGGTATCTTCGCGGAGACATGTCCGGCAGGGTAGTCGTAGCTCTCCGAGAGAGCGATCTACCCCGTTCGTCCTCTGCAATCTCTCCATATTCTTCTTCAGTTCTGTGGCGTAGAGCGTTCAATCTCTCCAACATCTGTCTCTCATTTGGCTCTGGGCTGGCTTGCTGGTAGTGATGCTTTGACTTCCTTGTCTTCTCGAAACCATCATAGATGTCATCTGGTCTCGCCTCCACCGAAGGAAAGCAATTAGTCGACGTATCCTCTAGCCTTGGTTGCTGCCTCTCTCTTCGGGTGTCGACGGCAAGTTTGCTTTGTCTCAGTCCGTCTGCCCTGTGAGGCTCAAATCTCCGAGTGACCTGGGTGGGCCTTGGTAGTGCTGGTCGTACATGGAGGTCTCTGCCTTGTTCGATGCGGGCAGGCACCCGGAATGGCTTGCGCAACGGACTAGAAGACGGAGGAGGCGTGCCAAGCACACTGCTCTGGTCAAGATTCGCAAAGGGATACGGCGTCTTGGCACCGATGCGTTGGCGAACGCCTGGGCCTCTCTGCGGCATCACCTCTAGGTCTTCAATGTCGTGTCCAGTAATAGATGAATGGAATGCTTCCTCATCTCTTGAAATTCCTCGCGGTTCTTGGTGTCTTGGAATCTGATAACTAGTTGGTGGGGCGGCAGGGTGTTGTAGGATCGGTGGCTCAATGTTATCTGGATCGTATATTTCCTCCCTTGCTGCTGCAGGTACCCAATGGCGTTGAGATTGCTGCTGCTGGGAACGTCTTTGGTCTTCGATACTCCGGCTCATTACTCCATCGGCTTCCTGCATGAGCTCTGCTATCCAAGAGATATGGACTTGCTGGCGAGAAGCTGTGCCGCCCAGATTGCTGTCACTATGCTCGCCTGTGAGTAGAAGGCCAGGCATGTCTTCGTGGTGAGTAGAACGTTGTCCAGCCGCTATTTTCGCCAGAGACCATGGATTAGGTTCCTCTCGTTGGGTCTGCTCTTCCAACTGTGACTGTATGAACTCGTGTATACCCGTACTGGGAGGGCCCAGAAGAATCGGTTGCGTTTGACCATCGGGGCTTGCAGTCTCATCTCGAGCCATGTTCACCTCCCAACCGGTTCGAAGGAGGGTTTGGGTGAGTACTGGTTCCTGGGGGTCTTCCTCGGCCTGTCGGCTGATTTGCGGTTGCCCCGAGTTTGAGAGAGAGGACCTGTCTACGACAATGCCATTGCCAACATTTCTTAACTCGTGGTTCACCCAGGTGGGATCGCTCGAATCCTCCACCGCCCCAAGTGCACTTCTACGGCCGTGTAAATGCTCTCTGTCGGGAGATCCTGGCATCTGCTGTCCACTCTCAGGGGAAACCAGGCCGGTTGGTGCTCTTTCAAGACTCACTTCCTCGACCGATGCCAAGTTTTGGAGGAGGTCATAGTCTTCTTCGTCATCGTCTGGGAGAAGATCTGGACTCTGGTGTCTAGCTTGCTGGTTCGGAGTTTGGATGTTTTCTGTGACAACTTCAGCCATTGGTTCGGGCTCGGTTGGTTGGTATATCTCCTTGCACATGTCCTCGAACAGGGCTAGCAATTTGGGCTCGTTTGCAAAGATGACCTCATCTTTGGCCGTGGTTACGTTGGGATCGTAGCTTCCGAGAATACATTCGACATTCAAGCGTATGAAAGGCTTGGAAATAGACCTGGAAGAACCGGCGAGAACGACACAGCTGCGTAAGTGTTGTTTGTAAGTATCGACAAGCTTCTTCATTGTGCCCCTCGTTGTAGCCATGGGTCTCGAGTCAACGGAGATAAAGTAGCCTTTGCCAGACACCTTCACGGGATCGGCATCAGCCCTCGGTAGAAAAGCCTCGAGTCTCATGATAGATTCTGGCGTGTCTGGTCTCCCCGGTTTCGTTGCTGAGATCGCAGGTGTGGTTCCACTGAACGTCTTCTAGACGCATTGCGAAACCAGCTCGGAGCCGAAGACTTGGAGAACTGCCTCTCGGACGCCGACGCCTTTGCCTGGAGCATAAGACCACGAGAGCTTATCGTTTTTCATGACTTTCAAGGAAAGCCTAATGTGCGGTCGAGTAAGTGCGTACACCTGGAGAAGGTCCCTGATCTGGGTGTATGCTTTCTTGCTCTCCTTCTGAATCTGTTGCCTGCGAACCGGAATATTGGCAAACAAGTCCGAGACGTCGATGGTCGTCCCAACGGACCCCGAAACATGCTTCTTGTCCGTTACACCGCCACCTTTGGGGTTGAGTATCAGCAGTGTTGCCACCTGATCTTGACTCGTCCTCGTCGTGATGGTGAGCTTTGAGACGGCATTCACGCTTGCCAAGGCATCGCCGCGAAACCCAAGTGTCTGGCCTCCCTTGCACTGAAGCTCCTCGAACGTCCGGAGCTTACTGGTATGTGACCGGCGTCCAAGAGCATCGTAGTCTTCCGAGCAGATGCCGTGACCGTTGTCCCTGACCTGGATCTTGTCTATTGCGTTTGCCGATATCCAGGTCTCGACGTTGTTTGCATTAGCGTCAATAGCATTGTCTACGAGTTCCTTGACAAGTGACACAGGAGATGGGATGACGACAGACGATCCAAGCTGGCGGACTGTGGCCTGAGGTAGCTGAGATATTGACATTCTACACGAATCTGGGGTTCAAAAAGATCGGCGCAAGCATGGAAGACAGAGCAGGTGCCCCCGAAAAGAGACGAGATATTTCTAGATAGTGAGGGACAATGTGCACACAAAGACGTGAGAGTAGCGGCAATGAGAATTATCAAAATGGTAGTGTTACGAAGAGAAGAAAAATCTGCCGGATCCGAACGTGAGAGAAAGGCAAGAGACATACCTAACAGCAGACGAAGGAAGGAAGCGTGTAAGTCGACCCTGCCCATCCAAGAAGGCAGTGAGTGGCTCATGTGCCAGCTGGTCCCAGCCGAGAGCTCCGTTCAGAGCAGCGCCAGCCGTGCCAAAGCTAAGGTAAGGTAACGGAAGGTTGCCCTGCCTGCTTCCTGCAGATTCCCAGGCCTGCCAGGGCGCCGAGCCCCGCAGCTCCCTCCACTCGCAGGTGCAAGGCACGCAAGCACCTCAAAACCGTTGTTGCCCCGCATCGCAAGGTCCTCGTTCCTGGAAACCCGCCCGCCTTGCTATCCCGTAATACACTACAAGCGATTCCTTAGCCAAACCCGCACCTTACGTAGCTCTTCCCAGCTCCCAAAAGCATTGTTGTTCATCCCACCACTTGCCATCTTCCAAACCACCCCCGCCAAAACCGAGCTGTCCACCTGTCGCGAAAGACCACCTCATCCACGAACCTACACCAAACGTCTTGATACCCCTCCTATTCACAACCACCAACCACTCAACTTCAAAATGTCCGACATCAAGGGACCTACCCCGCAACAGCACGACGGTAGTGCCCTGCGCATCGGTATCGTCCACGCCCGCTGGAACTCGTCCATCATCGAGCCCCTCGTCAAGGGCGCCAAGGAGAAGCTCCTCGCCTGCGGCGTAAAGGACTCCAACATTGTCGTCCAGTCCGTCCCCGGAGCTTGGGAGCTCCCCATCTCCGTTCAGAGGTGAGTCAAACAGCAAGCAGCAGTCGCAACACGCAAGACTGACCGCGGGGCTTCGGAACTTCCGCTCTTCGCAATCCAAAACCCAGCCGTAGCTAGCTACCTTTGGCTGACAATCCCTTCCCACAGACTCTACCAAGCCTCCCAAGTCCAATCCGCACAATCCGGCACCGGCACCTCAGCCGGCGACCTTCTCGGCGCCTCGACCACGGACCTGACCTCCCTCCCCACCGAAACCGCCCTGCCCTTTGACGCCATCATTGCCGTCGGCGTCCTCATCAAGGGCGAGACGATGCACTTTGAGTACATTGCCGACGCCGTCTCCCAGGGCCTCATGCGCGTGGGCCTCGACACGGGCATCCCCGTCATCTTTGGTGTCCTGACCGTCCTCAGCGACGAGCAGGCTCAGGCCCGCGCCGGGCTTACCTCTGGCGGCCACAACCACGGCGAGGATTGGGGTCTGGCTGCCGTCGAGCTCGGCGCCAAGCGCAGGGCTTGGGCCACGGGCAAGATGGAGTAGGGGCTGTATCTCGAATTGAATGAAATGGAAGGGGTGGGGGGACCTTTGGTTTTAGAAGCTTACTGAAAAAAGTAAAAGAATCCGAAAAAGAGAAACAACAGAAACTGGAGAAATCATACCAAGGGTCTATCGTGGATAGAGATCGACCCATTGAAATTTACTTGCCATTTGGACACAAACATCAAATCGGTCATGTTAAAAAGAGTGAAAATACTCGGGGCTCCTGAGTAGGTAGGTAGGTAATACACCAAATATCTCACAAACCTAATCATTGCACCATAACGGAGGGCTCATCTTCATGGTCATTTTTTCTCCAACATTAGTTGATTATGGCACCAAGAGCTGTCTATCATGACTTTGTAAACAATATCCAAGTCCTTTCATCTTACTCTTTCACTCCCGCAGCGACGCCCGGCAAACAGATTTCTCCCAGAATGTACACTTGATGAGGGTGCGCCGAATAAATACCCTACACCAAACCCTAGATCGAAAAAAAAGAGAACCCAAACACGCCTTAGATGAGTTGCGTGATGTGTGTGTGTGTGTGTGTCTGTGTTCCTTTTGGTAATATGTCCAGTCTTTTTTTTGTTTCGTCGTGTTCCGATTTCCCACCTCTTTCTCTCATCCTCCTTTTAACCATGTGGCTTCGTCATTTTGTGTACCCTCATGAGATGAGCGCTCCAATTTCGCTGCCAATGCTCTTCTTCGTTCTCCACAGTCCCCTCTTCTTCTCCTTCTTGGCCTTCATCGCAGCCCATCCCTCTTCGTCGTCATCGTCTGAGTTGTTGTTGGACTTGTCGGGCAACTTGTTCTCTTGCTGCTGAACGACCTTGGGAGGCTGGTCCCATCCCATGGCTCCCGACATGACCGACATGCGTCGGCCAGAGTCCAATTGGGGCGCTTGCTGCGTTACGGGTCTGTAACGGCCTGGTAAGCCCACGTTGCTGCGTTCCGAGGGTGCGATCGAGGGAGCATACCCGGCACCTTGGGCGTGAATACTGGGTGCGTACCCACCACCACCGCCCATGCCTCCGTGAATAGATGGAGCGAATCCTCCTCCGGGAGGTTGGATCCATGAAGAGGAGCTGGGCTGCACCATGCTCATGGTCCTCGTTCGGGGGTCGAGTCGAGGGGGCTCCAGCATGGAATCTCCAAAGTAAGACTGGCGCTGGCTGTCGTGGACGGACGGTGTCCCAACATGGCTCATCGGTCTTTGCATGCCATTCATTCCGTTCATGGCGTTCATGTTCTGGCCACCCGGAGTCGCCATCATCTGCATGAACTGCATCTGCATCTGCATAAACTGCTGCATCTGCTGGGTCATCTGAATCTGTGCCTGGTCTCCTGGTGTAAGCATCATCTGGGGCATTTGAGGCATCTGAGGCATCTGAGGCATTCCCTGCATCTGCTGCATTGGTTGCTTCTGTTGCATTTGCTGCATCTGTTGCATCTGCGGCATGCTTCCCATACCACCCATGCCTCCCATTCCGCCGTTCATTCCGTTCATGTTGCTGTATACCATGGAGGCCGGAACTCCGTTGCCAGGGCCAACCGGTGCTCCCGTGAAGGGGTCGACGTTAGCCTCGACGTTGGGGCTACCTCTGCGCATAGCCCGGGCTCGTTCCTCGCCAGCAATGACACCGACAAGGCCGCCGACGACGCCTGGCTGCTGGGCACCGGGTGCGGGAGAGCCTCCACCAAACGTAAGAGACTCGCGCGGGGGTCCGTTGATGAGACCCGCACCCAAGAACGGGTCCTGCGGGAGCTTCCTCGCAAAGGCAGGAAGATGTCCACCACTTGTTCCTCTCGGACCTGTTCCCTCGCCCATGCTCGACCCCGGTCTCGCAGGCTGGGGCTGGTTCTGAGCGGATGAACGTAGGTCGGGGTTTGAAGCCATGTTTAGGAGTCGGGCAGGCGGCTTGTTTTTGTTCGGGAATCCGTGTGCAGCCAGGATGGCAAGAGGCACTTCTTCGTCCTCTTCTCCTTCGGAACCGTCAGATTTTCCAGTCAGTGGACCCGCGGGGACGGCGAGGTTTCCGAGGTTCGGGGTGCTGAGCGACACGGATAGGTTTGGTCGGGTGGCATGTCCGGAAGGACCGGCCATAGGGTTCTCGCCCGTAACCTTCATCATCTGCTGTCGGTAGACGGCCATGTGAGCCTCCTGCTTCTTCCTCTGCTTGGCTGCTAGCTTCGCCTTTTCAATGTCATCCTCGTCGTCGTCATACTGGTCCTCATCATCATCGCGGTTGTCGTCGGATGCCTTAACCGTCTCGCTGGTGTTGTCATCGCGTTCCTTGTCTCGACGGTACTTTTCGAACTCGGCGGGAGTCATAACTTTGTTTCGGGGCGGGCTGTGGTTGTTGTTGTTGTTGTTGTTGTTGGATGTGTAGTGCTGCGTGTGCGCGGGCGGCTTCGGCGGTTGTGCTCTGCTATTATCGAACATGTTCTCCTCCTCCTTGCTGTCCGTTGCATCCCACGCTGTCGAGAATGTATCTTCATTTCTGCGGAATCTGCCGGGTGGAGACGGGTTGCTAGGCTGACTGGAACCGCCAAGAAATCGACTAGCTGCCACCGAGTCCTTCAACAGGTTCGCATCTTCGTCTTCGATGATGTCGGATGGCACATTGTTGCGGAAGGCCAGTGGTGAGCCATGTCGAGGCACTGGCGGCGGTGCAGCGGCTGGGGGAGAGTTGGAGCCGGAGTACAGCAGATTATCATTAGAATGTTGGCTGCTCCATGAATAAGGCGAGGCCTCGACTTTGATGGACCTGTCAATCTTGATGGGCGACGGCTGGGGTTGGTTGACTCGGTTTGTTGTGAGGGACCGAGGTCCCATGTTGGACTGGTCGTTGCCGGGAAGCGTCATTTGGCTAGCTCTTTTGTCGAATCCTGACCCTTTGAACATATTACCAAACTTACTGCCAAAGTCGAGGGCGAAGTCCTCCTCGCTGAGCTTGGGAGGCGTGGCGGTTCTGTCGGTGGAATCTGTCAAACCTCTTGGTCTGCGGGTATTATGGTCGTCCTCCAGCGACGCCTGCTGGGGAGGCAAGGGCGGAGGAGGTAGAGGATGATCGTCGACGGGAACTTGATTCTTCTTTTGACCGCCAAAGGAAAAGGTTCTGCCGGCTTTGCTTAGGAACCCACCAGAGCTGTGCTTGGGAGCTGGAACTTCGGTCTGTGATTTTCTAATCGAGGGTTTCCATTCTTCCTGAGCCCCTTGGTGGCCGAGGTCAGCCGAAGACGGTGTGGTTGAGACGTTGCTGTGGCGCGAAGAAGTATCTGTCGAGGTTGTTTTGGTGGTATTAGATGACCCACTTCCCCTTAAGCCGAGTCAGTCGACGTTAGACACAATCCTTGCCATGGCCCTGAAATGAATTGCAGACAGGGAAGGGAAATCGAGACAGCAAGAAAGAAAAAAGACCACTAGCAGGGCAACAATCCGCCGCTGAGTCCGAGACATGCCGCTGTGGAATGCATGCCAACCCTCTTTTTTCTGCTTGCTTCCCAGGTCTCGCTTTTTTTTTTTTTTTTTGCTTTCTCAATCCCACCTCCTTCTGCCCACCAGGGCCAAGAATGTGTTCTGAAATGGAAATGTGATTCAAGGAAAATGGGACGGATGCACATACCGGTTATTCTTCACGTCAGCAAAGATGTTGTTGTCCTCGAGAGACAAGTCCGAGTATGGCTTGGGAGGAATTGCCATCGTGGTTGCCTTGAGCAGCCTGTGTCCACCATCAAATGACTTTTGTCCTGCTCCAGCTCCAACTTCAGTCCTTTCCAAGACACGGAAGGATGTAGGCCTTTCCTTGGTCGTTGTCTCTACCTGCTCATCATGGAATTCTTCCGAGTTGACGGTCGATCGCCGCCTGCCGAAAGAGACGGAGAATCTAGGCATATGGATGAACCGCTATTCGTATTTCCCAACGGGACAGAAACGTTGCGCGTTTACACGCCGGGTAGTTCGAGAAGCGGGCTTCGTAAGGATAAATCCTTCGGGGCTGTCCTTCGCCTCGGGCTGGGGCCGCAGTGCAGAAAAAAAAAAAGCGATACGAGGCGGGTCAGCCGATGTGGGATGACGACAGATAGCTGAGATTCGGGAGGGCTTTGTTTGTGGCTCGCGTCAGTACTCGGTGCGGAGTGTGACACCAAAGTACGGTAAGCGAGGCGATGCTGCGTAGCGGAAAGAATCCAGAATGTCAGCTGCAACTGCGATCCGTCGTCGGTTGACTTGTGCGCGTGTGTGAGGTATCGCAAGAGTGTCTCCAGTATGCGACTGAGCTAGGTATGTGGCCACTCGTGGGGACCGAGGAGACGGGAAGATGGGGAATGAGGGTATTGCGGAAATGATAGCCGCCAGCAGCCTTAGCGATGGACCTGGGCTCTCAACAACAATGCAATGCTTCTCCCGCTCTCGCGCGCCGCGATGTCGCGAATCCGAAGGGGGAGCGCAGCTATGTATAGGCCTGGGCCGGTAGGCTGAGGAATGAGGGAGGACAAGAGGAATGGCTTGACGATGGCTTACCCAAGGGGTCTTTTCCAACAAGACAGAATGAGACGGCGAACAGTCGAGAAGGCGATGAGACGAGTATTAGTCTATAGAGCGTATGCGAGGGCGTGAAACCTGAAGCCGTATGATCTCATTCAAACTTTTTTTTATCCAAACGCAAAGAGATGCAAAAAAGCTGGACCCGGGCTGTACGAGGCCAGAAACGATGGAGATGATGGACAAGCGGGCGGGCGGGCTAGGGGGGGGGTTCGCCGATGCGATGCGATGGGGAGGATGGAAACCGGGGTATTAGGATATGAAGAACGAATGAATAAACAGGAACAAAGTCAAGTCGTCGGATGGATGGGCACGACACGAAGTGATATGCAACAAATGATGACAGCAACAGCGAGGGTCGGCGAAGCAGACAACGAGAGGTTGGAGACTTGGAGCGAATGGTGGGCGGGTGGGAATGTGGAAAGGAGGAGGCGATCCGATCAGTAAGGAATTAGGCAAGGCAGAGACTGAGAGAGAAGAGAGCCAAAAAAAAAAAAAAGGCACGGCTAAGTCTAACGCAGGCCAGCCAAGTGTGAGGGTCCCCGTCGACCAAACAGGGGCATGTCAGAAAGAACGTGAGCAGGGCCAGTCCAGGCAGGTATCCAGTCTCCAGAGTTCAAGGAGAGAAAATATGAAAGGCCTCTGCTCCTCTGCCCTCTGCTTTGCCTCTGCTTCTCTCCTCACTTCTGCATCCCGTGTCCCGCGTCCCGCGTCCTTGTTGGGCCAGTCTTCCTGTTCCTGCTGATGGTCTGTCTGGCCTGGGACTCTGGAGTCTGGTCTGCTTTCTCTCTATCTCGCATCGACGCACTTCCCTGGTTCCAACACCCAGTCGCAGGGCCTATTTTTATTAGGAGAGTGGAGAGACCAAGCAATAGTTGCTGGGAAGAGTGGGCTTGACGCAGCGCTTGACGCAAAAAGTCGAGCCAGCCCACCACCGTTCCTTTGACTTGTGACTTCACAGCCTGGTCGGCCCGCTGCCAGCATACCTGCACAGCTGCCTTGCCTCTTTGCTCTGCGGGTTTTCCCTGGTTCGCCCTGCTAGAATTCTCTGGCCCCAGGGGTTTAGGGTCAGGGATCCAGGGGAAGGGGGCGTGTGCGGAGAAAAGACGAGAAGGGGGGAATGGGATTGAGGGTTTTGGGCTGCATGGAATTGGATGGGCAGCTTTGGGATGACGATGGGATGGCCCGGAGATCGCTACTGCCATCTCTAAGGAACGCACAGCAGTCGTTCGTTGGTTCGTTGTCCGCCGTCCTGCTGCTGAACTCTGGTCCAAGCCCGCGTGCTGCGTGAACCCAACCCAAAAGACCGGATGGTAAAACGGGAGATGAGAGACGCCTTCGTTTCCGCCAATGTCATTTTCTCGGATCCTCCAGCAATTGATGGCTTGCTCTCTCGTTCTCGGTACAACTGTACGACATGCATGGTCCACGGCCCCGGGGGATTTCGCCATTGTCTCTCTTGATCCTGAATTGAACCCTTTGAAGGAATCGCCCATTGGGATTAGTGTCGTTGGGTGGCGTCCATCGTCCATTTCCCCTTGGCCGCACACCCTCTTTGGTGGTAATCATACTCGGGGCGGCTTGTTTCTTCATGCGGAGTAGCACAGCGGTATGGACTACTCGACCGTCGCACTGCGTCGTCCGCCGTCAATGTTCTTGTTACCGATGCGGTACACCCTCCCCCTCAGGCCTCAGCTGCACCCGCCATCCAATTGCTGCACCATGGCACTCAGCCCAGCCTCTCTCTCATGTGTCCTGCATGTCTTCGTTGCCCGGGGCTGCGCGTTCTCGACATCGGCTGAAATGATGGAAGCTTTGAAGTAAACGCCACCAGACTTTGGCCTGCCATGCAAGAGGTGCCGAACAACGAGGACAGAACGTGCTTCTCCAGACGATCAGCCGAATTTGACTTTGGGAAGAGAGCGATCCCGACGAACAGACGAGCGCGGATAGGCAGGAGGCTTTGCGTAGGGCACGCGAATTGGTTGGGCGACTGAGAAAGCTGGGCCCTCCTCTGTAGACTGTCGGCAGCCTCGGTAGCGACTCGAGGTCTTAAAAATTAAACTCGGGGCCGCCGCCATCGAACTTTGGAGACGACTGCAGGACGAGATTCCTTGGCTAGTGGGCTAATGAGCACAACGGCGACCAGCAACGACAACGTTATTCTGGCTCATGCCGTGTCTCATAATTCCTTTTCCGTCGGCAGGATGGGGCTTCGAGAAGTGGCTGCGGAGTGTGTAAACAGATGGCTGGTTGCGTGTCTAGGACTCGAGGCTGGGGCTTCTGGTGGCTTCTGGTCAGCGGACGCCGGATGACTGCCACTCCCGAGTATTGCTGATGATGAATTGTTTCGAGGGTAACTGTCCCATTACAACTCTGCGTTTTCACCAAGCCAAGTCTGGTGGTCCCCGGTTCGGTCAATCTGCCAGATCCAGGCCACTGTGAGCTTACCAAGAGCACACTGCACAGGAGACTCGGTCGGTAATAAGGCCGCCGTAATATTGTCCGAGACCGATCCACGTCGGAGAGACAAAGCAACGATGGAGGTTTTGAAATGACAGGCACTCGCATGCTGTTCAGGAGTGCGTGATCAAAACGAATAGACCTGATCAGACCGAAGCTCGGCCGTTCCCATGGCATGTAGTCTGGGACGCAGGATCGATCATACCTTCAGTCACCCCGGCTCGGAGAGGACACAAGGGGACGGCTCCCTGTACGCTGCCGCCGGGATCGTGTCGGGTTCACGGCGGGTGGTTGGCAGGGCAGCCGTACGTAGAACATCTGATTTTTTTTATTCCTGGAGGCTCCAGAGCGTCGCTCAAGAATGCCCAGACCGAGAAGCACGTTGTCGGGACAGATAGGCGATGAAGACAAGAATCGGACGAGGTATTCGTTGACTTGCTTGATTCGTCACAAAGTCTTCTTGAAAGCGTCTGTCTAGGATGCATTCGACTCTCTCTGGCTGGTTGCGAGGAAGGAAACAGGAGACAACCGTTTGACGCAGATGTGGATATGGGACGCCGTCCCGTCGGCAGCCACAGCTTGCGTCTTCAGGACTAAGACGAGTTATGAGAAGATGCTGGCAGTGTGGTAGAGCCTGTGGGAGGCAAATCGAGTGCCGATTCGCTAAATTGAAGAATCGAAGTCGTCAATTGCGATGTGGGAGGGGGCGTGAATGGAGGCGAGGGGCAGAACCTGGAAGGGAAAATTGACCGGTGGAGAAGGCTGGAGGTTCCCGAAATCAACGTGGGCCTGGAGGCTGGCACCTAACCAAACCAAAGTACCAATGTACCTAGCGTGCGGCAAGCATTGGCTGGTGCTGCAAGGTACCTTGCCTGGACCTCCGTTGCTCTTCCGTATGCCCCGGCCGCTTATAGGACAATTCCATCCCGCAATCACGTAAAAAAGAATTGACCAGGAGTCTGGACAAGAGCAAGACGGTGCGCTGCAATTTGGAGAAGCTCTCCCGAATCCTTATTTCAACTCATGTCGCCGCTGTCAGTACGGATACCTATGTCGCCATCTACCGGTACTTTTGATCCGATCACGACTTTGGCCCATATTTCCCAAGGACGAATACTGGGAAAGAGCCGCCGTACAGGATGTATCTGGTGCTCCGGCCTTAATACCTTGGCATAAGAGATTAACACGAATAAGAAGAAGATGCAAGAACATGCGCGAGATGGGGCTCTAGCGTGACGCTACTCTCGTAGCCCCAGAAGGTCTCTCCGATCACTGAAGACAGACAGTCCTGGAAGCTTGAATAGTGGTTCTCTCAGGCACCGGGACTCTGTCACTATGTCCTTACGGAGCACCTCGCTGTACTGTTGCACCTGTGGCCAGTATCTGGCAAAGACGCGTGTGATGGTGAGAAGGCGCTTCACATGTTGATGCTTTGCAACCCTCCTATATGGCTGCCTGCCTTTGATAGAACGGTTAGGTGCCTCTTGCCTACCTTACCTCAAGATGCCATGAAGTACTCCATAACTGAAGTGGCGTGCTTTCTCAAGGAGCAGGAAGGGACGAAACACAGAAAATGTGAGAAGGGACGTCCCGTCGGCCTGTCCCTCCGTGGCCCTCTTTCCCCCTCCACTTCCCGCGTCTATGTGGAAGGTCTGATAGTGACGCGGTCTCTCTGGACTCTGGAGTCTGGATGAGTAAAAACTCTTAGTACTCCAAGTATGCCACTCGCGACTCCCCTCAGGCCTCAAGAGTCAAGACTCAAAATCATCTGGAACTTGGAAGGCCGCTGATGAGGGTCTTCAACCTGGAACGGACCAACTCACACCTCTCCACTACCCTGCAGGGGTGCGAACTTGTTGTGAACGTCAATCACTTTTTCCAGCTTCTATTTTCCGCACACGTACCCAGTTACCTCGTATCGACCACTCGCAACTCCAGCCCATTCGTTGGATTCTCTAGCCGTACCAGAAAAAAAACCTGCAAGATGACAGCGGAAAGAGATTTACGTCGTCTCTTAAGGATAGTCTCCCATCAGATATAGTATGCTAGCACGACTAGGAAGCCACGCCTGCCTGCCGTCTCCAGCAAAATTCCAACTTGGAAACCTGCCGGTGAAATGTGGTACATTGGGGAACCCAAAGAATGATGCAAGTAACAAGCAAAGCAACCCCCCGACAATGACCCTATCGAGTAGATGTAAGAAGCAAAAGTAACATGCTGTGGCCAGAACATCTGGCGTAGCCTGCCATGGCCAGACACATTTTACTTACCTCTGCGCCTAGTACCTACACGTCGACGACGCCTTGCAATCCCACTTCGAAGTAAGGTATCCATCCGTACGCACATGTCCGTCGAGGCAGTAGGACAACCATCGCGTCCGTTCCCGCTCTGCAACCGTCCGTTGCGCATTGGGCTGTGTGTGTGTAGGCCACAGCCCAGGCCGGAGTAGGCGACTAATAGCAACTTGGCCAATCCCGTCCGTCAATAAATCAATCTCAATATGGCACGGCCGAGATTCGATCGAGACAGGTCGACCCAATCCGAGCTGATGACAGCGAACTAACTTGTTATTGACCCGATCCCATTTCATCAACTGTCAATAATGCGGCACCACGATGCAAGAAAAAGGGAGACACTCCAAAGAAAATGGATTGCACTCACATTGGCACACCCTCGTCAATAGCGGGCGGGTTAAAGCTCCGTACACTTGTTGCGCAGCCTGCACTGCTACCAAATACATGCCAGGGCGAAGCTCAAAGGGGAATGTTCATGTCGCCTTGAACACCCGTGTTGGTTTGGTCCGTCTTGGTCTCGTCGGCTGCCTTGCCGCCCCAGACTTCACCCCTGGCTAGGAAGGTTTGCTCCCTGCGGAAATGGACGGTCAAACGGCGTCTTGCTGCTCTCCGCCGTTGAGTCGCCGGGCCTCTAGTGTACTTTCGCGTCCGAGTGTGGCGCATGCGGGCGCTTCTGGTTGGCAGGGTTCGGAGATCACAGATCTGACGATGGCCGCTCACGGGTGCATGGGCAAACCGCGACGCACATTGTTGATTTTGAGCTCCTATTCCATGTGGGAATTTGGTGTAGGCCATTTGCCGTTGCCAGACTAAAGGCTGTTTAACACTTCGAGGTAGGTATAAGTCATAACAAGCTCATGTAGCTAAGTCAGGGACGGTGGGTGAGCCAAAGCGATTTCGAGGCAGCAACCTGTGCTCTTCATCCTTCGCGGCAGACGTTGTGTCGATAACACTACAGTAACTTTTATCTCCAGACATTCAAACCGGCCATGTCCGTTGTCGGAGAAATGCTCGTACTCCAATAGAGCGGTGAGTTTGGAACGTGGTCTTTCCTCAATACACGTAACACTTATCATCATGAGATGGGTACCATCAAAAGATACGAGCTCTTGGACCCCATCTACTATATTGCTTATTGCCCAATTACCATGTGAGTGGAAACATTGAAATCCTCCCGACCAATCTACCAGCCAGAGGTCTTGGGCGTGGTCTCGGGCTTGATTCAATCGCTAGGCTTTGCGCTTGGCCTTCAGGTTAAGCCTGACAATTTAGTAAATTATTGTTTGTTCCATTTCTGTTAATATTCTTGCTTCAAGCTATGCTACGGCCATGTTCCCAAGAGCCTTACACAGTCCAGTTGAAAGCATTGAATTGTTCTCAGATCGAATGACGGCCAAAATTCTGACGGATAGCAACTGACTTTGGAGCTCGCGTTTGTTCTATTGCTTCACTTGCTTCTCATAATTGATCTCGTAGCCTGCTTTTCGTCAATGTTGACGTTCTTGATTCTTTCATGTGATACGTTGAGTGAGCCTGATGTGCTCATCTTCAAGGTACAGAGTGAAAACTCAGGCAACAGCGACCGGTAGCACCGAAAGTTCGGTCCCCCGCCGTCTCCAAACCACACTTTGGTTGGTTCCCGCCCCGAGTGACTGCCCGACCAATTACAAGCTACCCCGCCCTTCCTCAGATGCAACTCACAGATTTTTTTTAAACCTCTAGCGGAAGCACAACCCAAGATTTTTAAGTGAATCCTTGTGTGACGAGACATCAGAAACCCCATGACAAACATCTGGACCCGAGAAAGAAATCTACAAAGATCCCAAGAGGCTGGAAGAAGCGTAAACCCCCTGGACTCTGTGAAACTAGCTTCAAAAGTCGCTGCTCTTGTTTCACTCGGCCTTCGCACACTAGGACAACCAAATTGGACACAGAAACGGCTTCGCCCGAGACCCCTACTCAACCAGAATCATCTCGAGAGTTACCCCTCCAAGGAACAAGACTCGAACCTCACCTCACCTCACCTCATATCCCCCCCCTCACCCCTCACCCCTCACCAAAAGGCAACTCACTCACACCACAGTATCTCACACTTTCATCAAATCTCCCACAATGTCATCATCCACCAACCAATGCCGCCTAGTGGTCCTCTGCTCCGGCTCCGGCACGAACCTGCAAGCCATCATCAACGCAGTCGCCGACGGCACAGTGCCCCAGAGCAAGATTGAAAAGGTGATTGTGAACCGCAAAACGGCCTACGCCGTCCAGCGGGCGGACAAGGCGGGCATCCCGACGCGTTACTTCAACCTCGTCTCGGGCGGCTTCACGGCCAAGGGCGAAAAGGACGAGGCGAAGCTGAAGGAGGGCCGCAGCCGGTACGACGCGGCGCTGGCCGAGGTCGTCCTGGAGGATAAGCCGGACCTGGTTGTGCTTGCGGGCTGGATGCACGTGTTTAGCGCGCCGTTTTTGCGACCGTTGGAGGCTGCTGGGGTTCCTGTTATTAATCTTCATCCGGCGCTGCCTGGTAGGTTTTGATCTCCTTGATGGGTTGATGAGAAGGAGGCCGAGAGGGAAAATCGTGAAAGTTGGAAGATTGTGTGTGACTAACACTGCTTCGCCAGGCCGTTATGATGGTGCCAATGCGATTGGCAGGGCGTTTGAGGATTTCCAGGCTGGCAAGCTCGAGAACAACCGGACGGGAGCGATGATTCACTACGTTATTGAGACGGTGGACCGTGGAGAGCCTGTTCGTCTACTTCTGAGATGCTCCCCCTTTTTTCCACTTGCACGATATGCTGACGGCCATGATAGATTCTCATTGAGGAGGTCGAGATTCGCGCGGGCGACAGTCTGTCAGACGTCGAAGAACGTATGCACAGCGTCGAACACGGTCTCATTGTCAAGGCCACCGCAAAGGTCGTTCAGGAGATTCTGGAAAAGAAGAAGCAGCACTGAGCAGCGGCGAATAGGCAGAGATAGGACGACTTGTGACACAAGACTTCAACGTCGTCACACATCACCAGTCACACATTTGCTAGGCGCCAGGCTGGCTATGGTTTGGAATACTAGTTTCTTTCAAAGATGCAGCGCTTAGCTCTTGAAGTCAGCCATGATGGCTTCCCGAGCACTCAGGAGCAGGGTCGGAAGGTTGTTAGCCCTCGGAGCCATCGACTTACGAAAAAGGCGCGGCAGATGCTCATTGGACATGATGAAGAGCCGGGCAAGCCGTGTCTGCATCGGGAAGAGAGTCTGTCATCAACTGGATGGCCGATGAAGGCGAGTTTTGAGAGAACATGGCCCAAAAGAGGTGCCGGGGAGCAGCAGCAGGAGTACATCCTTTGGCTCTCCTCTACTCAGCTCGGGTTTTCCAGAGAACACTCAATGAAAGAAATCTTTGAGCCAATGGACCGCGAGATTTCAGGTCATCGCCGCCAAGACATTCACCCGTCATCATTTGTGGTAGCTCTTGTCGGGAGCTGATGACCTGAATCTAGCAGGATGGTATATCGTAAAAAGAGACGCCGAAGGGGAAGCATCGAAGATTAACCTCTCATGAACGTGATTCGGCTCCAATGAGAGCAGTACGTAAACATTCCATCAGTTGGGAAAAGCATGCCCAGACCTCAAATCGGCACAAGTTCGGCCTCCTGCCAATGTCCAAGCAGCAACCAATGCCGAAATCAGCAATACGATGCATCCGTGCAGTGTCTGAATCACGTATTTCTATTTTTCGCGGGGGGTAGTAAGGGCTGTCGTGATTATGAAAGGGAAGCCGGAGCCGGAGCCGAAGCGGAGAACCCCTCATCAGGTGATGGTGGACAGACAGTAAAAAAAAAAAAAAAAAAAAAAAAAAAAAGGTTCGCCAAAAGTTGCTGCAAATAGGTGAGAAGAAGATGCGGCTCTGCTGAGATGTTCTGCAGGTCCCGGGGAGGGGAACCCCTAACCAGCTCCCTTTAAAAAAAAATTGAGGAGCCAATGACGAGTGCAGGGCTGGAGGAATCGGGTAAACGTGGGAGTTGAACTAGGGTTGAGTCTTTTTGACGTTTTGAACAAACGAAATGTCAATTCCCTCTCTCTATCTTATTTCTCGTTATAGTACGGTAGAAGTGTATACCTTAGTTGCTCACGACTATTCGCAAGTCCTGGGTTACCATCGACCATGCCGTAATGCCAAGACACGGCGCTATGCAGCATCGGCACAAGAAACCCCCATCGTTGTGCCCGAGACCTTTTTCTCTCTTTTCCCCCTTATGCCGGAGTTGAGACAGAGACAACGTGATTGTCCCTTTTGCCGATGTGCTGCGCCTCGGAACGAGTCTCAAAAGATGAGTTCCTACCCAAGGGGGGAAGGAATAAAGCAGGGTGCGAATTGGGAGTAAACAGTTACCGTTTGATCTGAATCTTGGCGGTGGGCTCGAGTAGAGCTTCTCTTTTGGTAAGTGATGGGAATGGTTCAGACAAGTACCTGAGAAAGTGTGAACTTAGTCAGTTGCTCGCTCGGCTAGGCCAATTCTGGAATGGCAAGGACAAACATGGAGGCAGCACGGGCCGGGGTGCGGATGGATAGTGGAAGCAAAACGGGGGGGGGAAACCAAATGGATCGGAAATGGCAGTAAAAGGGCAGGTTGTGTCGAGTGGGAAAGGCACTAATTAGCCACGTTGGGGGCTATCCTCAACTTTTTTCGCTCAGGTCTAGCCGAATCAATCTAACGAGATGAGAAAGTATTGGCGCGACTGTCAGCTCCCCACAAGGTATCTGTGTGTGTGCCTTGCTCGGGTTAAGTTCAGAGAGGTGGAAGAGAGAAAAAGAAGGGCTGGCGAAGTTATGCGATGAAGTTATGGAACCCGGCAGCTGAAAGGTCAAACCTAGTTTCGAGTATCCCCCAAGGTATGAGGTGTTGACTGAAGGGTGCTCAGCAACCCACGGACTCTGGAGTTTCTGGCACTCTGTGCAACATCAAGAGATGGTTGGACCATGGATGATGGGGGGGACCATTCACAATGGCAGAACGAGACACGGGTAGACAATGCGCGGAATGCCGACACCGGCTCAAAAGGCAACTTGGCGCGAGGTCGTCCCCGTTTTCCAGCTGAAAGCTCCAGTCTTTTTTCCAATTGCCTCGCCCCCCCAAATTCGGAATTCCGTGACCTGGTTGGCTGGGGGCGTTCTTGGAAATGGAAATGGGTAAACCTTTTTTTTGCTCTTGCTGAGGCCAGGGCCGGGGGTTTCGTTCTTCGGGTGGACGGGAAGGGCAACTCGAAACTAGGTATTTGTATCCGTACACTACGTATAGATAGGTACAGATAGGGTAAGGTACCTTGCCTGTCTGCCTTGCCTCGATGATGACAGGGGAGCTCCCTCATTGCCCATCTGAGCAGCGAAATAGGTAGTCAAAGAGAAAGAGAGAGAGAGAAGGAGAGAGACACACAGAAGGAGGAAGATCTCTCTCTCTCTCTCTCTCTCTCTCCCTCTCTCTCCAAACATACCTCAGGTACGGATACCCTTAGGAACTTACCTTGCCTTCTGGACGCCCAGAGAAGCTACAGCAGAATCCATGGCGTTGCGCAGGTATCAAACGCCAGTAGCCACTCCTCCGATACAACATTGGTCGGGTCTGCCAACGCCCGTACCGTGAAGCTCCCCAAGCGTCTCTTGGTTTGTCGAATCGTAGCCCCAGGAAGCTCTACGCGAGTGTGAGCTCTCGAAAAGGTTCCCCTCCCTCATCCAAGCCACCCGCCCCCCCCCAGGCGGCAGGCCCCAACCCACTATCTCGCCGCGCCTTACCTTGCCTTACCTTAAGGTACCTTACCTTGCCGGCTCTCGTCTCCTCAGACCCTCCGGGTCCATACTGCATACTCTGTCCGTCACTGGGGGCCTTTTTTATTTTTATTTTTTTATACACGTCCACGCGCCGGGACCTGCCAATTCACAGCTTGGAGCTACCTGCTACACGCCGACCACGAGACTATCAATCTCATCTATTATCTTGGCCTTCTCCCTCGCATCGCGCCGGCTACTCTTCCCTTTTTCTTCTCTCTTCCTCCCTCACTTCAATCTCACTTCACTACCTAACCGTCATCCTAGCTCCACTCCATTCCTCCCTATCCCTCCTCCCCGGTCGTCTCCCTCCCCAATTCGACCTCTGCCGTCATTGCCTCTCTTTCTTCCCCTTCGGCCACGATGAGCTCGCCGCAGGACCATCGCTCGAGCAGCCCTCGAGTAGGCTCATTCAAACGTCCCTCAGTACTCAACGCCGACAGCGATCCATCACTTCTGGCCACCAGAGGCAACGGCGCCTTGGTCTCCCTCATCCGGAACCGATCCAATGCCACTCTGCGAGAGTCGCTCAAGAGCCCGGCCTACCACCAGCTGGGTCACGAAGAAGAGGAGCATGAGAGCACCTCTCTGCTCGGCTTCCTGCACAGGGACTCGGACGATGACCACCACCGCTCCGCCGCCGAGGAGCGCCGTCTAAGCGAACTCATTTTCGGCCCTCAGATGAGGAGCATGCGCCTTATCGGGAACAGCAACCCGCGCTATCAATGGGAGCGCTATTGGAAGACGGAGGCCGAGCTTGAGGTTATGCCAAAGCATATGTGAGTTTCTGCTGTGCAACCATGCCGCCCTGGATCGGCCCAGGCGCAATTCGGGGTTCCCAGTTTACTCCCGTACTCCGTCGACCATCTACTCGGCATGTATCAGTTGCGAGTTGAGTTGCGGATTGCTGACGCGCATTGCCAATTCCTCAAGCCGCGAATATTACGAGAGAAACAACGATTTGATTCGCATGTACCTATACATCGACCAGCTCTTGGATTCATCCGTGCCCCACGATCTGCTCAACGAGTATCACCAAGCTCTAGACGCTTCGGCCTACCGCCCAGTCGATGTTCCCCAGACCATTACCGAGGAGTCGCCAACTCCCACCTCACCACCGTCCAGAGGCGGCCTCACCTACGGCAGCACTACTGCTTCAGCCCAAAACAGCAGCACGGAGCAGAGTAGTTCGGCAAACAGCATACAGCAAAAGGCGAAACGCAAACCCAAGGACATTTTTCGGTCCACCGAGGCGACCCCACTTCTCAATGGCCACGACGAGGAGGAAGGTTTAGCCGATCAGCCCAAGCCCGAGATCCCATGGCTCGAGGACACCGACCTCGACAGCAGCGACCCCATCGTCACTCTCGCCATTTGGGTCAATTTCATCGCCAACGCAGCTTTGCTGATCGGAAAGATTCTCGTTGTCTTCTCCGTACCTTCAGTCTCAGTACTCGCCAGTTTGGTAGACGCGGTTCTCGACTTCCTCAGCACGGCAATTGTGTGGACGACGACTAGGCTCATTGCCGCCAGCCAAAATGACCAGCATTCATATCCTGTAGGCAGACAGCGGTAAGTATCAATTTGCCCCCTTTTTTTCGTTTTTTTTTTCTCGCGATGCTGCCTCCTTGTTGCATTCCGTGCCGCGTGCTGACTCGCTACAGTCTCGAGCCTCTTGGCGTGCTGGTTTTCTCCATCGTAATGGTTACATCCTTCTGCCAGGTCGCTCTCGAAGCTATCCAGCGTCTCATGTCGCCCGACCATGAAATTGTTCAGCTGTACGTCTCACTTGCTGCTGCTACTCATCGAGTCCCGCTCCGCAATGTTCCGGAATGCGCAATGCTAACCTCGCGGAAACTACAGCGGCATTCCGGCCATCTCCATTATGGTTGGTACTGTGGTGATCAAGGGTTTGTGCTGGCTCTGGTGTCGTCTCATCAAGAATTCGAGCGTTCGGGCTTTGTACGTTGATCTGACACCCTGCTCCTCTTTCGTCGTAACCTCAGCGTTTGCGTCGCAACGGGTTTACGTAGCCGCCTCCTGATCGGCGCCTATCACGGGATATGGGGAACTTTCATAACTAATTCTTTGTTTTTCTCCATCTTGCAGGGCCGACGATGCTATGACCGATGTCATCTTCAACACTGGCTCCATCCTGTTCCCCATCGTTGGCTACTTTGCCAAAATTTGGTGGCTGGATGCGCTCGGCGGTCTTCTGCTATCTCTCGTCGTCATCGTCAACTGGAGCGGAACCTCGATGCACCATGTCCGAAACCTGACGGGCTTTTCGGCGACTTCGGATGAGAGAAATCTCCGTGCGTAACCTCTTTTCTTCCTCTGCTGTCCCTTGTACCTTTCTCCTGCCCTCTACCTTGCCGTTTCGCCTCCCCCACAATTTCTATACTTAGACCCTGTTATAGTGTACACCCCTTGTCATGTCTTTGTTTCCTCTTTCCCTCTTCCCCTTCATCCTAAGCCTAGCTACATACTGCCGGCTGTAGAGCCCAGTCGACCAGTCGATGCATTGTACATTCAGTGAAGTCAGCTATGAACTAACGCCGCCACTCCAATAGTCCTCTACCTCACCATGCGCTTCGCCACGTCCATCAGACAGATCCAAAATCTGCGGGCCTACCACGCGGGCGACAAGCTGTTCGTTGAGGTTGACATTGTTCTCAACGCCAACATGCCTCTGAAGGATAGCCACGATCTCAGTGAAGTTCTGACCTACTTCCTCGAGTCGGTGCCCATTGTCGACCGCGCCTTTGTGCATGTCGATTACGCAACATACAACGTTGACACGCACATCACTCAATAACCGTGCAGCCAAAGCAGTGCTGCATAACACAAAACTCTGTAATACTAAGTACGGGCTTTATCTCGGTGGCCCTTTTCAACAGTCTTCTCAATATCTCCGCATCTCTTGTACCGGTTGGGAGTGTCGGCAGATCATCATTCCAGGGCGGGAAAGAGTGGGCGCCGCGGCGCAATGTAAACAGGAGTACGAGGCCGGGGAAACAAACTATAGAAAGAAGGATCAGGTCACAAAAAAAAGGCAGCATCTTGGGTGGATTAGCATTTTCAAAGCGATTTAGTGGTTCATGGCCATTGTTGTATATTTTCAAGGTTATTTACTAGGTGTATTTGGTTGGCTACAAAAAGAACAAGGGGCGGCTGTTCTCCCACCCTCCCTTCCGTCCCGTCAGTGTGGGGATCGACAGGGTCTTGGATGTTGTTTTGTTTGAGAATCCCCCAAAAGTCTCAAGCATGAATCTTTTTGTATGTTTGGTTTGTCGATCGACGACAAGGAGTGTAGCTGGGGCCTCAGAGGGGACGGCGAAGGTAGAAGGTAGCAAAGACAAGGGAACGCAAGTAACAGGGTATTAAGTAGGGATGGCGGTGTAGTGGCGCAGAGTTGAAGCGAAAACCAAAAAACAATCATCTCCCACATTTGTATTATTATTACTAGCTAGAACTGCTGTTTCTATCAAAGGGCGGAGGAGGTCCGGTCTGTGTAACAAACCACTGCACAGGCGTGTGGTGTCGTTGGTGCGACGGGCGGCGTGCGGCGCGAGGAACTGTATACGATACCCATCTCAAGCACAGGATTCTATAGAGGCGGGTAGCAGCAGCGAATGAACAAAGTCGGACAGCGGCCATAAACAAAAGTTGAAACCAAACAAGAATCCTTTCCCACTTTCATCATCACCATCCTCCTCCTTCATATCCCACATCTCATGCAACGTCCAGACTAGTAGGGAATACCGTTGGTAAGCAGCTGGAACTGATCATAGACACCAGTCGAGTAGCTGTTTGCGCTCCTGCGGATGAGGTCCTTGACAAAGTCAGCCGCCTCGCGCTCGCTGCGCTCCAGCACGAAGCGCTCCTTGAAGTGCTGCACGCTCTCGGGCTTGAAGCACGGCAGGCCAGAGTCCATCATGAGCAGAACAATCTGGCTGAGCTTCTCGCAGTGCTGGCGGGACGCGAGGAAGGCCTTTACACAGAGCTCCTCGAACCACTTGAAGGCCTGGTGGTGCGGGCTGCCGCCCATGACGGCCAGCATCTCCGTCGTCAGCTTGAAGGGCGCGCGCTCGAACTTGATGCCTCCGGGGGCGATGTCGAAGCAGAAGCCAAAGTCAATGTGCAGGATGTGGCCCGCGTCGTCAATCATGATGTTTCCGTTGTGTCTGTCCTTGAATTGCAGGAGGAAGGAGATGATGGAGTAGGCGGCCATGCTCTTGACAAAGTTGCTGCGCGCCTGCTGGAAGCGGAGCGAGTCTTCGTTGCCGTACTTTGAGATGAAGTAATCGTAGAGACCGTTGACGGCCTCGCGACCGAGCATGTCGCGGGAGACGGAGTTGGGCAGCACGTCAATGACACCGCAGCCAGGGGCCGTGGCCGTGACGCGGTACGGGTTGACGTAGACGTCTAGGCCGACGTTGTGGAAAATGCCTCGGAACGCCGCAATCATCTGCAAGGCAAGCACGTCCTGTCTGCAGTCATCGCCGACTTTGAAAATGGCAGACTGCCAGACTTCAATGGTGTTTTCCTGCGCCGGCACCGAGTCCTTCTTGTTGACATCCTCGAGCATGTCATTGACGTCTTCCAGGCTTCCCTTGTTTTTCTTGATGCGGAATGTTGCCATGTAAGGCGCCTTGGCGTGACTCTGGAGAGGCTTTCCAGACTTACGATCGATACCAATCACGACACCATCGGGGTTACTGGGCAGGTAGACGCCAATCTCAACCTTGATCTTGCGTAGTTCCTCCTCGATCTTCTGCGCCTTTTCCGGCTTGGGCCGGCCGACATATGGCTTCAGTTTGCCCGAAATGTCAGTGACTTCGTCGAAGAAGGCAAATTCTCGCTCGTAGAAAGTCCTGTCCACATCAGAGAAGCTTGCAACCATCTTCTCCATAACCTTGTCGAGCGTAGGCTTGATTGCGTCAGGCTGTTACGTTGTTAGCATCGCACGTAAACACAAGGGTCTCGTTCAACTCACGATAGTTGCATCATCATCCTTGTAGGCGTTCGCCTTCATGTTCCAGATGATCTGATGCGCGAACAGTTGCGAGAACTGAGCGGTCTCCAGGATGTATCGTTCCACATAGCCCAGTGCGTCGTAGCGCAGCGTCTGCACGATTTGGGGAACGTAGAAGAAAGTTACATCGCTGGAGTGGCTTTCCATTGCCCTCATTGCGTACTGGATAAGGAACGGATGGTTCCGATACGCGGGCAGGAAATACGTGGCAGCTGTGATCGGATTCACCGGCGACCAGAACAACAGATACTACGGTGATCAGTATCAGACTACAGGGAGCCAAGGATGTCACTTACCTTCAGTTGGAAGCTAACGTCGTTAGGCAAAGAGCCACCCAGAAGAATGGGAAGACCCTCCGGCTCTGAGATGGCCTTCTGCGGGAAGTTGATCAACAACCATCTGACCTCGCGTTGAACACGTGGATAGGGGAATCGAGTGACCAGCTCAATAGCGATAGACGGGTCTTCGGCCCAAGCAACACGGATGAGGGGGGCGAGGGCAGTCTGCACCTGTTGTTAGTGACATTCCCGCATTGCAAATTTCACCACGTACCTCGATAGCAGCCTTGTTAGCTTGTCCATGGGCCTTGGAGGGCTCGCCGAGTGGATGAACCCACACTGACAAACGGGTCTGTTCGCTTTCGAGGAGGAAAACGAGAAGTTGCTCCTTGGCCTGCAGGGACTTGATCGTGTCGGCAGCGTTTGCTCCAATGAATGCAACGTGCTTCAATGCCGCCACGATGTCGGTCAAGAGACGAAGTTCTGTCTTCAGCTGCAGGATATTGCTACCGAAAGACCATCTTGGAGCGTAACGGAACCAGCTGAGCGCGGCGGACAAAATCTTCTCCTTGAATCGCCATTGGGCGATGGCGCCAATGGTGGTACAGACATGCAACACCTTCAGTCCGAACAATACGATCTGAAACCGCAGTTCTCGTGCCATCGGGTGAGGCGTTGATGATCGCACAGCATCCAGAGTAACATCGAGCATGCGCAGGAAGACTCGCTGCACATCCGGGCTACCCAAGCGGGTGGCATTGAAGTGGCTGGCGAAGAATTGCAACAGCCTCATGTGGGGTGACAGCAGGTTGTGCACCTGCTGCTTGCGCTTGGCCAATGCCTCAAGGTCACTAGGCGCGAACTCTTCCTTCAGGAAGAAAGGGTCAGGATGCCTGGGAATCTGTTAGCTGTGTTAAAGGTAGGGGCCAAGATGACTTACGACATGGCATGGCTGAACAGCCCGAGGCCGCTCTGAATGGTCGCCTCCCATTGTTGGGCAATTTCGGTAAGAAGTCTAGGCTCGAGGCGTGGATTCTCGTTCATCACGCCCAACCACAAGGAAACACCCAGCTTGATAGACTGCTTTGTGAACATGGCGAAGGGGATGCTGACGAGGTAATGTGCAACAGCGGACTCATCCCGGTTACTGCGGCAAAGCAGGGCTGCAGCTCTGCGCAGGATATCGCGAACCTCGTTAAGAGCGGTGGTCTTCTTGCTCTTGATGCGGGCTTCAACATGCGCCAGGGCCGTGGCGGCGTTCGCACTATCGCTAGCGCTCGATCCCGATGACTGCAAGAAAGACGCTCTACGGTTCAGTTGCATGAAGTTCACCAGTTCGTTGCCACGTTCGGGTAGAGTCTCGCCATATCGGTACTCTTGACGAGTGGTGTACTGGGCAACGAAGTCAGATCCAGTGTTGATGCTGCACTCTCCGACTCGGTCGAGAGACTGCAGTCTTTGATCGGTGGATGGCATGAGGGAACCAAGCTCAATGGCAAAGGAACGGCCCAAAGAAATGTGACCATACGCTCCTTCGTCGTCAAATTCGGACAAGTACGTCTGGAGAAGACCCTTGATGTCCAGGGGTGCCAAGCTGATTACGCTCGAGACCCATTGCTTGGCTCTGCGATTCAGTACGTCAAGAGTGTGACGGCGGAAGGTGTAGTCGTCTGATAGCTCGACGGACACGTCTCCGAGGCTAGAGGTGAATTTGGATCGTGGTGCGTACAGATCCGTCTCGGCTTCCAGGCAGCTCGACCACATCAGAGAAAGAAGTTCCAGCAAGGCAAAGAGCGATGACCTGTGACAGAGGGCAGAAGGAACCTGAGTGATGATGCGGTCCGCGCAGGTAAAGGCTGCTTGCTGGACTCGCTCGATCCGGTGACAGCAGCCACAGAAGATGGCAACGAGCTGGGTGGCAGCATACTGGGCAGAGAAAGTAGCGTCGGTACCGCCCAGAGTCTTTCGCAAATACTTGTCCGCCACAGCGGCAGCGATGCCCTCCATAGTACTGCTGACCTCTCCTCTACGCATGCTGGGCTCCAAGAAGTATGAGAGAGCCTTGGTGCAATCACCAGCATCCGCTCGGAGACTCTCGACCAAGTAAGCGGCGTGCAAAAAGATCACCTTACGGTAACTTAGTCCCTTGATTTCTGTAGCCTTGTTGGGAATCAACTCAGTGAGATGTCTCTTCTGCAGCGACTCTCTATCAGAGCTCATGCCTCGGCGCAGGACGGTGTTAAGCTCGATGTCACTCTCAATTTGTTCTCCTCGTTGTTCGGCAACCAGAGGGGGCGAATGAACGGCCATGATTCGAAGCTCATCAAGATAGGTCTTGCCCATGTCGGTTTGCGTAGTGAAGCCGTGAACAACAATGTTGAACCAGGCATCTCTGATCATTGAGTGCGACTCATCATCGGTAATAGAGTTGAATGCCAGATCGTTGGTGGACATGAAGACAGCCAAGGGATGCAGCAGCTCCGCAATCTCCCGGGCAGCCAGCTGAACATCAGCCTCCTTTGTGTGATTCGACTGGTGAACGTCACCCATGGAAATGATGCTTTCCAATAGATGCTCCCAGTAAATATCATAAAGGGGAGATCCACGGTGGAGGTTTGCCGAGATGTATGTACGCGCCTTCATGACCTAGTGATTGTTAGAAATGGGCATTCTGAAAGACGGTTGGGGAAGCAC